TAACTCCGCTTTCCTTCCAGGCGAGAAGCACCCCGGCCTTGCTGTGTCTCCGGAGTGCGCCAGCCAGGCGCCGGCCGTGGCACCAGGGCTCAAGGCCTGTCCCTACAGCCACGCAGCCTCCGCCACCTCCAGCAGCGCTGCCCCAGGCTCGCCTCTGCCTACCTCACTTGACTTCTGCAAGACACTGCCGAAGCAGTTCAAAAGCATGTGCCGGAGGGCCACCCCGCCAGGTGCGTGCCCGGGGCAGAGCCCACCTTGACCTCCTGTGCCACTGATCCACACAGCCCTCACTACCCCAGCACCTTTCCCCATGATGTGCTGTCCATGGGGCAGGGCTGAATCATGTGGGAGAAACAAGGTGCTGCTGAGGCCCTTTGTGAGCAGGGATGGCTTCTAGCCCAAGCATCCTGCTGCCTGGGGGGAGGAGGGGTTTGTCCCATGGAGAAGCAGCCTGCGGAGAGTGTGGGTGGCTCTGAATGTGGTCCTGGCCTGTGCGTGATAGCTGGTGTCTGATTGCCTCTGCTCCTGCCCCTCTGCAGGTGAGGCCTTCCACTCCTCAGAGCATCATCAGCACTCCGACCTCACTGCTCCTCCCAACAGTCCCACGGGCCTCCCCTCCCAGCCACCAGCGCTGATCCCCTCCAAGCAGATGCCTGCCCACGCGGGGCCCTTTGGCTCCCCACCCCACGTCCCACTGGGCACCTCCCCGCAGGCTGCGCTCTTCCCTGCACCCAGTGTGCAGGCAGCAGCCCCAAAGCTGGTGTCTGAGTCCCCTCCCGCCGGCACGGTCTCGCACAGCCCGGGGTCGTGCAAGAGCCCTCACCTGCCCCCTGCCAACGTGCCGCTGCTGAAGATGCCACCTCCGCTGTCGGGCTGCACTCATCCCTGCAATGGGCACTGTAGCACTTCGCTCATCCCTCCTCCTGCCTCCCACCAGCTGCCCAGCACGAACAGGTGAGTAGAGGAGCCCTGTGTGCTTCCAGCCTCTCCTTTCTGGGCTGTGTGCCCTTTCTCCCTGCCCGCGGATGTGCTTTTCCCTGCGGAGGGGCTGGCTGCTCTGGTGTGGTGGTGCGGAGAGCCGCTGTCTTTGCAGGGCAGTTCCGCTGCTGCAGACCCCTGGTCTATTGAGGGTTTAGCTCTTTCTCTCCCCACGTGTCTTCTCCCTGCGGTTGTCCTTTAGTACTGTGGTGCAGAAGAGACTGTGCTTGCTCCTCCTCCAGCTAAAAGACCAAAAGGAACCGCCCGGTCAACCTGCTGTTGGCCAACAGGACCTTTGTCAGTGAGACCCGTCGGGCAGCTGTGGCACTGAGCAAAAGTCCTCAAGAAGATGAAGCCTGTGGTCTTGTTCTGCTTGCCTGCTCCCCTGGCCCTCTTTGGGCTGCCTGTGCCCTGGAAGAGAGCGGGTGCTGATTAAGTGTTCCCTGTGGAGGGCCAGCCTGGTCCTGAGCTGGAGCTGGAGGAGTTGTGCTGTGGGCCTTGCCCTGGCCTCCCTGTCTGAGCTGGGTGGTCTGTGGCTGTGGGAACCGGGCCTGCCTGCCCGTGGGGATGTCTGGCAGCTGCATGCAGTTCCAGCGTTTCTCACCTGTGCTACCTGCTGCCCCCAGTGAGTACCGCTCCCTGCCCTGGAAACAGCTTGTGGCCTGGCAGGGGGACACTGATTTCTGGAGCTCTGGTGCACCAGCCTCCTGCCTGCCAGAGGCCCTGGGGGGCGAGGAGCTACAGATGTCTTTTGCCGTGAGCTCCTTTGGCATCTCCCCCTGGAGGAGGGTGCAGGGGAGGGGGTTTGCCTTGCAAATCCTTCTGCTCGGGCACAGGCTGCCCTGGGAGGGGTGTTCCTACCCGAGTAGCGTGTGGGCCAGTTTTTGAGCCCCCCTGGCTCCTGCTCACCTCTCGCCCTTCTCCCCTCCTCCGCAGGGACTCCTCTTGCAAAGGGCACAAATTCCCAAATGGTACCAGCTGCCACCCGCCGCAGCCCTGCGAGGCAGACGAGGGGCTCGGGGAGGACGAGGACAGCAGCTCCGAGCGCAGTTCCTGCACCTCCTCCTCCACCAACCAGAAAGATGGGAAGTTCTGCGACTGCTGCTACTGTGAGTTCTTCGGCCACAACGCGGTGAGTGAGGGGCTGGTCTGCAGCCACCCCCAGTCTTTGTGCTGTCCTCTGCTGTGAGGTGTTACACAGCCCATGTGCCAAGAGCACGGGGATGGGCAGGTCTGGCCACAGCTGCTTCCTGCCAGCGTGTGCATGCCCCCTTCACTTCCATCATCACTGTGACAGTCCCCTCATTCCCAGCTTGCAGCCATCTGCTCAGCCCTGGGGCTCGGTTCTGCCAGCCAAACCCTGTGGCTTCACGGTGGAAGAGAGCTCCATGGGGGCTGTGCTGACTTGTCTTGCTGGGACCTGTGAGGCAGGGATGGCTGGGGAAGTGGGTGTGGGGCTGGTGGGAAGCTGGGATTGGCTCTGTGTGCCTGCCCAGCTGATGGCTCTCACCCCCTGCAGCCCCCAGCTGCTCCCACCAGCCGCAACTATGCTGAGATCCGGGAGAAGCTGCGCTCGCGCCTCACCAAGAGGAAAGAGGAGCTCCCACAGAAACTGGGGCACAACAGCAGCTCTGGAGAGCCCGCCGTGGACCATCGCAATGTGGACGAGCTACTGGACTACATCAACAGCACAGAGCCCAAGCCCTTGAACAGTGCCAAGGCGGCCAAGCGAGCACGGCACAAGCAGAAGAAGAAGGTGAGGATGGGCAGAGGGAAGCGTTGCCTGGGGCAAGCTGCAGGAAAGAGGTCAGAGCAAGACTGTGCCCCTGGCAGGGCTTTGTCTTCTCTCCCTTGCATTCCTTGTTTTGTTGGTCTCCATCTCCTTTGCTGCTGTCTCCCCTGAGGTGACAGTGGTGTTTGGTTCTGTGCAGGGTTTCCCCTTCCCCTGCCTCTGATCCTGCAGAGGGTGGCTAAGCCCTTCTGGGTGATTTGGATTGTGCTGTTCTACCTTGGTGTATGCCACATCTCTGACAACCACTGTGTGTCTGTGGTGGAGAGAGGCACATCTGTGCCATGATCACTCATAACCAGAGCAGTGTTGTGTGCAGTGTGGCAGGTGTTGCACTGCAGAGGACACATGGCAATTTGAGGGCTTTGGAAGATGGGGGGTGGCCGTGCTGAGCACTGGCCCTTAGGTGTGCTGTCTAACAGTGGCTAGCCCTGGGGTCTGGGCAGCCCAGTCCTCATGGCACCCATGTTGCAGGAGAAGGAGAAAGCGCAGCTGGAGGCAGAGGCCCAGAAGCGGGCAGAGCGCACCCCTGCAGCCAGCCAGGCCAGGGAGCCAGCTGAGGAGAAGCTGCTGGAGTGGCCAGAGCTAGAGCTGGAGCGGGTGAACAGCTTCCTCAGCAGCCGGCTGCAGGAGATTAAGAACACCATCAAGGACTCCATCCGAGCCAGCTTCAGCGTCTATGACCTCAACCTGGATGTCAACGACTTCCCCAAGAAGGCAGCTGTTCTGGAGCAGAAGAACCTGCTCTCCAACCTCAACGGCTCCTCTGACCTGCAGGACATAGACCTGGCCCTGGCCCCGCTCAGCCTGGGCCCTGCCAAGAGCCACACACTGCTGCGGAGTGAGCTGGGCCCCCGATGGGGCGAGGGGCCTGGGGAGCCGCCACCGGCCCCAGCGGCTGAGAACGGCGTGGTGAAGCGCCTCAGCGCCGTGCCCAGCCTCTCCCGCATGATCTGGGTGCAGTCCAAGGCTGCGGACTCTGCTGCGGAAGGCAGCGGGCTGAGCCCGGAACCCAAGGAGGGTCCACAGCCCAAGGGGCTGGAGCCGCCGGAGCCAGTACCGAGCCGGCAGCGCAAGAACAAGCGGCAGAACGGGACAGCAAAGAAGGGGGAGGGCATGGCTGCAGTGCCCCGGCTGGAGAGCCCTGGTGTGAAGGGGCAGGTGCTGGGAACCAAGCACCCTTCCAAGGCCAGTGCCTCAGAGCCGCAGCGGGCGGGCAGCTGTGCCGAGCAGGGCGAGAGTGGCAAGGGGCAGCCCTGGGGCGGCGGCAGGATGGAGAAAGAGAGAAACAGCGAGTGGAAGAGCCGGAGGGGAGAGGGCAAAGTGGAGCTGCCAGAGCCAGCGCAGCAGCAGCTGCCTGCACTGGGCACTGGGGACCGGCAGCTGCCAGTGCCTCCCATCTTAGGGGGCTCCCCCCAGCCTAAGGGCAAGAGCAGGAAGAGCCGCAACAAGGTGGAGAAATCCAATACCTCCATCGGTGAGTGTTGGGAATGCCGCTCTGTGCTGCCATCTTCCTGCTGGCACCTTCCCTGCCCCCTGCACTGACCCTCTGCCCCTCTGCCTTGCCAGATGATGTGTTCCTGCCCAAGGACCTGGATGGGGCCGAGATGGACGAGACCGACAGAGAAGTGGAGTATTTCAAGAGGTGAGGGGCAGCCCCGAGGGGTCAAGCCCTGCTCGGGGTGTGGGGCAGAGGAGCTGGGGGCTGACCAGGGCTGTCCTTCCTGTCCCCGCCAGGTTCTGCCTGGACTCGGCCAAGCAGACCCGGCAGAAGGTGGCGGTGAACTGGACCAACTTCACCCTGAAGAAAACCACTTCCAGCGCAGCCCAGTGAGGTGCTGCCTCTCCTCACTGTGCCCTCCGCCTCGCTGCGGCGGGGCCCCCTCCTCTGCGGGGGGCTCCCGGTGCTCTCCCGGCCCGCGGGGATCCCCGGGGCTATCCCTATCCCCCTCCTCCTGCAACCCCTGTCCCCCGCGGGGTCCCCCCTGTCCCTGTGCTGCGGGGAAGGACCCGAGCTGGCCCCAATAAAGAACTTTTTAATTTTTTATTTTATTTAAACCCCGCTGTCTGCTCATTTCTGCCGGGGGTGGAGGGGACCGGACGGGACGGGACGGGCCGGGCCGGGCAGCGCCTTCCGTGGAGGCTTGGCCGCGGAGGCGACCCGTATGCTGCTGCGTTGCTAGGCAACGGCGCCCGTTTCGTTACTTCCGGTGCAGGCGGTGTGTGTGTGTTTACATCCGGGGCACGCCGCTGTTGCGTGGAGACTGCGCCATGGAGGCGGCGGACAGGAAGGTGGGACCGGGAGCGGGACCGGGAGCGACCGCGTGGGAGGCCCCAGGGGCACCTGTACCCTCCCAGGCCGTCCTCACCCCGTGTCTACCCCACAGAGGCAGCGGGAGGAGGCGGAGGACACGTCCGACTTGTCCGGGGAGGAGGATGACGACTACGTGCCCGTCAAGCAGCGGAAGCAGCAGATGGTAACGGGGACCAGCGCTGGTGGGGAAGGGCTCTGAGTGTTCCCCCTTAGCCCAGCGCGGGGTTCTCACTCGTCCTCGACCCGCTTCCTTCCAGCTGCAGAAGCTGCTGCAGATGCGGCGGAAGGTGGTGTCGGAGGAGGAGCAGCGGGACAGCGGGAGCGAGCAGCGGGGTGACGAGGATGACATCCCCCTGGGGCCGCAGTCCAACATCAGCCTCCTGGACCAGCACCAGCACCTCAAGGAGAAGGCAGAAGGTAGGGGAGCAGCTGGTAGGTGGGCTGGGTGGCTTCCAGAGGGGAGCAAAACCTCCTCACCATTGCCCTGACTCTCTCCCCGCCCCAGCTCGGAAGGAGTCAGCCAAGGAAAAGCAGCTGAAGGAGGAAGAGAAGATCCTGGAAAGCGTGGCAGAGGGCCGAGGTGAGTGGTGGGAGCTCTAAGAGCTGTCGGGGCAGCAGTAGGGACATTACCTGCCTTCCAGCACTCAGGGGTGTTTATACCCAGGGGTGGGACAGGACATCACAACAGACCCCCTCGGTCAGCATCCTTGCCTTGGCAGGCCTCTGGACAGGGCAGGCTGCAGCACTTGTTGTTCCACTGCCCAGGGGGGTTTTAGGGGTGCTGCTTTCCCTCCTCTTGTCTCCAGATGTGGTATTTGAGTAGCTCAGTGCTGAGGTTACGTGCATCTGGAGATGGAGAGTTTACACTGACCCCATCCGCTTTGTTCTTGCAGCTTTGATGTCAGTGAAGGAGATGGCCAAGGGCATCACCTATGACGATCCAATTAAAACCAGGTGTGTTTCGGAGTACAGAGGTTGTCTTTCTGAAATCACTGCCTCCTGGCAGCTGAAGAGAACCAGCAGCCATACACCCTCGCAGGCAGAGCACTGGTTTGCAGCCACTGGCTTTTCTCTTGCTCTACTGTCTGGCTTCTTACTGCTGAGTGTAAGATCAAAGGCTGTTGAGTCACTTTGGATGTTGTTTTATAGACAGTAAGGTTTGCTAAAGCACAGTTATGTTAAACTTGAAGATTAGAGGTGGATATTCAGATCTTAGAGGTGACTAAGCTACAGGAAGAGACTGGGGGAGGCTACAAAGCCAGTGCTGCTTGAGGCAGTGTCTCCGAGACTTATCCAAGGGATTTTGGCATATTCCATCCATAGGCTGTTGTCAGCTGTTAGCTTGGCACTTTCTACTGAGACTTAGGGGAAATGTTTCATGTGTGGAACTGCCTTGGATCTGCTCCTGCGCTCCTTGGGGTTACTTGTTTTCCTTGGTGGGATGTTGGAACCAAGCCCCTGAGGCTCAGGAGCCTCAGCCTCATTCTGCACCATGACTTTCCTCTGTTGCCCTCGTAGCTGGAGAGCCCCTCGTTACATCCTGGCCATGTCAGAGGCCCGGCACGACCGCGTGCGCAAGAAGTACCACATCCTGGTGGAGGGGGAAGGGATCCCGCCCCCCCTCAAGAGCTTCAAGGAGATGAAGTTCCCAGCAGGTGGGCCAGGAGGAGCTCCAGGCAGGGCAAGGGGAAGCTTTGTGCTGGGAAATGCACATCAGTGAGAGAAGCTGTTGAATGGAGAGGGCCTCTTCATCAGGGACTAGCGATAGGACAAGGGGTAATGGGTTTAAACTTAACCAGAGGGAGTTCAGGTTAGATAGAAGGAAGGAGTTCTTTACTGTGAGGGTGGTGAGGTGCTGGAACAGGTTACCCAAAGAAGTGCTGTGTCCCTGGTGGTGTTCAAGGCCAGGCTGGACAGAGACTAGGGTGGCATGGTGTAGTGTGAGATGTCTCTGCCCATGCAAGGGGGTGGAACTGGATGAGCTTAAGGTCCCTTCCAGCCCAAACCAGTCTGTTATTCTATGATTAATGCTTGGTGTTAGTGGGGTCACAGCTTGAATTCCCAGCAGCGGCTGTGTCACTTGGCTTTTCCCCAAGGGGTTTTGGTTGCTGATATGAGGGCTGCTACTGGGACATGAGGAGGGAAAGAAGGGGAAGACTTCATGTAACAAATGCGCATGTCCTGTTCTGTCACAGCTATACTGAGGGGCCTGAAGAAAAAGGGAATTCAGCAGCCAACACCCATACAGATCCAAGGCATCCCCACCATGTGAGTGCTCTGCCTGTCCCAGAGTGGGGAGCAGTGCCAACAGGGAGCTCTTCCCTGCACCCTGTCACCTTGCTTGAGCCCCAGAGGTGTGAGATGTTCTGTGATGCTGCTTCTCACCATTGGCCCTATTTCTCTGCCAGCCTCTCAGGAAGGGATATGATTGGCATTGCCTTCACTGGCTCTGGGAAGACCTTGGTGTTCACCCTCCCAGTGATCATGTTCTGCCTGGAGCAGGAGAAGAGGCTGCCCTTCTCCAAGCGAGAGGGACCCTACGGCCTCATCATCTGTCCCTCGGTGAGTGTCAGCAGTGCGGTGACAAGCAGAAGGAAGCTTTGATTGCCGTTCAGTGGCAGTCTTTGGTGCTTCCCGCACGGAGGTGCAGGAATGAGTGAGTTGTGTCTCTGCAGCGGGAGCTGGCCCGGCAGACCCACGGCATCATCGAGTACTACTGTCGCCTGCTGCAGGAGGACGGGCTGCCCCCGCTGCGCTGCGCCCTCTGCATCGGGGGCATGTCTGTCAAGGAGCAGATGGAGACGATCAAACAGTAAGACCTAGAGGGGTTTGTGGGGTTGGAGCTGTGCTCTGTTTCCTGGTAGGGGACTGTGGGGTGCCACTCTAGCTAGACGGCTTCAGGGAAGTGTGGGGGCAAAGGTGATGCCACATTCCCCATGTGTCCTGCATGGGGCAGGAATCACCAGGTGCTTGACTGTGGCCTTCTCTTGGCTCACAGTGGTGTACACATGATGGTGGCAACCCCTGGGCGCCTGATGGACCTGCTGCAGAAGAAGATGGTGAGCCTGGACATCTGTCGTTACTTGGCCTTGGACGAGGCTGACAGGATGATTGATATGGGCTTTGAGGGGGACATCCGTACCATCTTCTCCTACTTCAAGGTACTGAGCTGGCATGATACCAGCCCCCTGAGGCTCAATCCCCAAACCCATTTGGTTGGGAGAGTGTTAAATCCTTGCCCGCACTGTGTTCCCCATGCAGGGCCAGCGGCAAACCCTCCTCTTCAGTGCCACAATGCCCAAGAAGATCCAGAACTTTGCCAAGAGTGCCCTGGTGAAGCCTATCACCATTAATGTGGGCCGAGCGGGTGCTGCCAGCCTGGATGTTGTGCAGGTGAGGTAGTTGGGTGCTCCCCCAGACTGTGTGGGAGGCCAACAATATCAGTGAGGGCACTTGATGCCTCTCCCTGCCAGGGAGTTGGGATTCATAGAATCACAGACTGCTTTGGGTTGGAAGGGACCTTAAGATCATCCAGTTCCAACCCCCTGCCATGGGCAGGGACACCTTCCACTAGAGCAGGTTGCTCCAAGCCCTATCCAGCCTGGCCTTGAACACTGCCAGGGATGGGGCAGCCACAGCTTCTCTGGGCACCCTGTGCCAGTGCCTCAGCACCCTCATAGTGAAGAACTTCTTCCTAATACCTAATCTAAATCCACCTTCTTTCAGTTTAAAGCCACCCCCCCTTGTCCTATCACCACTTGCTCTTATAAAAAGAGCCTTCCTTCCCAACAGGTTAAGGGGTACCAAACAATAGCAGTTCCTTTGCTGCCTGACTCACCCCTGTGCTTGTTCTTAGGAGGTGGAGTATGTGAAAGAAGAGGCCAAGATGGTGTACCTCCTCGAGTGCCTGCAGAAGACTCCACCACCGGTGAGTAGTGCACGCTGACTGCTCTGGCAGCATGGGCACAGCTGCCACAGCAGCATGGGTGGAACTGACAGTGGGGATGTAGGGGCATGCCATGAGCGTGATGCTGCAGGACTCTGCCATGCGAGTGAGCTGTGCTCCTCCTGTGAGCAGGTCCTGGGCCCAGAGCTGTTGTGTATTCCCCTCACTGAAAGGGAATGGGTTCCTGGGGGCCTGTGCTGGTGCCAAGTGGCTTTTCCATGATGTCTGTGCTGCTGCAGGTGCTGATCTTTGCAGAGAAGAAGGCGGATGTTGATGCAATCCATGAGTACCTGCTGCTCAAGGGTGTGGAAGCTGTGGCCATCCATGGAGGAAAAGGTTGGTGAGGGTATTGGACAAGCCCAGGTTGTGGTGTACCCTGCCTGGGGTTGTGTGTGGCCGTGGGAGGTACCAGTGTGAAGCTGTTTGTGATGGTCTGAGGAATGGCTTTAAGGTTAGTGGTTGCTGTGATGGGTAGTTCTGGGAGCTCTGCCCTTGCTGATGTTCTCTGCTGGACCTTTACAGATCAAGAGGAACGGACAAAAGCCATTGAAGCCTTCCGGGATGGGAAGAAGGATGTCCTGGTTGCCACTGACGTCGCTTCCAAGGGCTTGGATTTCCCAGCCATCCAGCACGTCATCAACTACGACATGCCGGAGGAGATAGAGAACTATGGTGGGGACTGGGACCATGGAGGGTGCAGTGGGGTGAGCACAGAGGCCAGCAAGGCTCTATGCTTGTCCCTGCAGCAGCTGGGGGCAGGGGTAGTCTGTCACACTGCATTCACCCAGGCCCAATCCTGTCTCTTTCTGCACAGTTCACCGCATCGGGCGTACAGGCCGTTCAGGCAATACAGGCATTGCCACCACCTTCATCAACAAGGCCTGTGGTGAGAAATGGTGGGGGGGGGCTGTGGTTGTGGGGTGCTGGAGCTGCCTGTGCCTTGGCTGGGGGTGTTCTGAGCAGGCAGGGACAAGGCATAATGGCCTGTGGAGCGGAGGTGGTGATGTGAGGCAATGCCCTCACCTCTGCCTGGGCTATGTCTGATCTGTGCCTCTGCCCCCAGACGAGTCGGTGCTGATGGACCTGAAGGCCCTGCTGCTGGAGGCGAAGCAGAAGGTGCCTCCTGTGCTCCAGGTGCTGCACTGCGGGGATGAGACCATGCTGGACATCAGAGGTGAGAGACCCCAGCCTGGCTGATGGACCTGTGGTGCAGGCAGGACCCTAGCTCCCAGGCCATTCCTACTGCCCTGGGGCTGTCATTGCCTGCCCTGCTGTGGCATGGAGGGGAGCTGCTGCTGTACCCCTCTGCTCTGCTCTGGGCCGGAGGGCCACTCTGCTGCACAGCACAGCTCCCCCTGACCTTGTCCCTCCTGTTGCAGGCGAGCGGGGCTGTGCCTTCTGTGGTGGCCTGGGCCATCGCATCACCGGCTGCCCCAAGCTGGAGGCGATGCAGACCAAGCAAGTCAGCAACATCGGCCGCAAGGACTACCTGGCTCACAGCTCTATGGACTTCTAGCCTGGGGAGCCCTCTGCCCCACTGCGTGGGCCTTGCCTTCCACTCAGCCTTGGTGCCCCAGCTGTCCCTTTGCCTTTCCCAAGCCCAGGGGCCTGTCCTGCTCTGCCATGGCCCCTTTTCCAGGTAGTTGGCCTGGCAAAGCTCCTGCCCCTGGAGGAGCTGTGGAGCTGTGCTGCAACAGCCCATGGCATCATGGTTGGGTTAAGTCAGCCTTACCTCAGCAATGTTGGGCAAGCAGGTAGCGGTGCCTGAGGGGAGGAAGAAGCCCCAGGATGGGTAACTGGTCTGTGGCTGCCTGCCTGCTGCCCCTGCAAGCCCCTGCAGTGCCATGGCCAGGGTCTTACCTTGCTCTTCCCCAGAGCCCCTCGATTTCTCCAGGAGCATCCCCGTTTTAGGGGCATTTTCAGCTTGTGGCTTTTCCGTGCCCCTCAAACATGCTCTGATGCAGCCGGGGTAAGGCAGAGCTTGCCCTGATCCTGCTGGGTGGTCCCTGTGCTGTTTCCTGTGCTCTGCCTGCATGCGTTCTGCGCTACTGCCCTTCTGCGAAGGGAAGGGCTGACAGACAGACACCTCCTGTGGCCCAGCCTCTGCCCCTCATCCCACACACCAAAAAGGGGAAGTTGCTGAGAGAAGGAAGTCTGCCCCATGCAGTAGTTTCAGCTGCAGCAGTCACATTTTCTCCACTGCTGGCAGCCCAAGTCGCCAGTCCTTGCGCAGGGTGCCAGGGCGGTGCTGGCCCCATGGAGAGACCGGTGAAGGATGGGATCCTCTATGTGCAGCACTGCAAATTTGGAAAGGTAAAAGTTGGGTTGGGGGCTGGGTACAGGGTTTGCCCTGCTTTGTCTTGATGCCAGGCCTGGAGCTGGGCCCTCAGTAGCCTGGGAAGGGAGACTGGAGCCAGACTGAGGGGGGTCCCAGGGCTCTGCAGTGCCAAGATCAGGGCTGCTCCTGTGGCCAAGGGGACTCAGTGCTGCCTGCAGGCTCCCTCTTACTCACTTGGTCACCATGGGATTGGCAATGAAACAATAAACGTGTGTCACTGAGGCGCTGCCAGCGTGTGTGTGGGAGCAGGGCACCAGGGCAGCGTGTGGTATGTGGCTGTGTGCAGCCCTCCATCAGCCTGGTCCTGGTGGGACACCGCCATTCATGGGACACCCCTTGTGGCTTGGCTTGCTGCTCTGCGCCTTTGGGGTGGGCACCGACTGCTGCAGCCCTCTTGGTTTGGGATGGGTGATGTGGTGGGAGACCCTGCAGGGTCAAGCCAGCTCTAGAGAGGTGTGAGATGGGTGTTAGTGAAGCAGGCCCATCAGTAGCATCCTCTCTTCCATGGCAGGGCAGCCATGCCCCTTGGGGTGTCAGTGGATGTGCTGGGCTGCAACCCTCTTGCTGAGCAATAGCTCACCCTGGAAGTGAAGCTGGCAGGGCCTGTGTGCATGGGGCTGGAGCCCTGCTGTGTATGAGGCAGGGGGCTGGCAGTGGTGGGTATTTTGGATGCTTGGCCCCTCTGGTTTGTGCAGGGTGGAGGCTCTGATGGTGCTGTTCAGGTGCGTGGGGGCACTCGCCCCCTCCATCCCATGACAGGCTGGGAAGGTGCTGGTGCTGCAGAGCCTCCCCTGGGAGGAAGTGGGCTGCAGGGCCCGTCCCTGCTCCACAGATGTGAAGCTGCCAGCGGGAGCCTCAGCAGCTCAAAATGGCTTTAATTTGCATCAGGGTCTGTCCTGAGCACAGCTCCCAGCTCAGCTGCAGCGGCGGCAGGCCGGCACTTGCAGCAGGGAACAAAGAGCAGGACCTGGGGCTCGGGAGCAAGCGTGACTCACGCAGCGAGCCAGGCTCCCCTCACCCCAGCCTGGGCACTGCCCTGCCCTGCAGCACTGGGGGTCTGCACTGGCCCTCCCTCACTGGGGACCCCCCATATGCCCCCTCTTATCCCTTTCCACCCTTCCTGAGCACTGCTGGCCCCGCATGGCATGGAGCACTGTGCGAACACAGCAGGCAGCTCATTGCTGACTTGGTTTTCCCTGCTCATTCCCTTCCTGTGCCCCAGAGGTGCTGGAGGAAGATGCGAGCCCAGCTCTTTGCTGCCAGCTCCTCCGGCGTGGCCCGCATGGAGAAGTTCGATGTGCGGGATGATGGCACGGCGCTGGAGAAGCCCTCGCTGCGGCAGTGCGCCCGCAGGGTCATCCGCCTCTCTGACTGTGTCTCCGTGGGCCCAGTGGGCACAGAGAGCTGCCCCAAAGCCACCGCCGCCTTCTACCTCACCACCACGGAGAGGAGCTACGTGCTGGCGGCCGAGCAGCGGGATGAGTGGATCTCCCAGCTCTGCCAGCTGGCCTTCCAGGTACCACCATGGGGTCCAGTATAGCTGGGACATCTTGTGCTGCTCCTGGCTTGACTGACATTGGGGTTCTGGGTTGTATGGGCAAGCAAGGGGTGCTTGTGCTCCTGCAATCCATGGGCCATGCTCACCTCCTCCTGTTTCAGGGGACAAAGGAGATGACGCAGAGGAATGCCAGGACCCAGCCCAGCCCCACTGTCCCCATGGAAGAAAATGTCCTCTACTCCTCCTGGCAGGACTGTATGTACAGGAGTGGTGGATCAGGCTGGGGGGGGCTCCAGCTCAGTGCTGTGGTGCTGACCACTGCCTTGCTCTGCTCCTGTAGTGACTGAATTCCTGGTGCTGGTGGTCCGGACGGATGCGGCTGCCCGCTGTGGCCTGCATGGGCACTACCTACTCTCAGTCCTTCCCCAGAGCCTGACGCTGAAAGACCTGCAGTCCTGCCAGCCCCTGCTCACCTGGCCCTACCCCTTCCTCCGCAAGTTTGGCCAGGATCAGGTGGGTGTCCCCCTCCCTCCCTGGGGCTGCTGGCTTCTCAGGGGGGATGCTAGCTCCTCACCCTGTCCTCTGATCCCACAGACCGTCTTCTCCTTCGAGGCTGGCCGCCGCAGTGACTCTGGTGAGGGCACCTTCACCTTCAGCACCCCACGGGCCCCAGAGCTCTGCCGCGCTGTTGCCACTGCCATCGCCTGCCAGCAGCAGGGCAAGAACACCCCAGACCCCCTGCTCCCAGGGGCTGAGGAGCCCCAGCCCAGCCCCACCCTTGGGGGGTCACAGCCCCCATCCCAGGCCCCTGCCACCCTTCTCCACTTCACCCCTGCTGAGCCAGAGGGCACAGGCCCCATCGTCTATGCCTCCATCGCACGGGGCCAGCAGCAGCCCCTGGTTGCAGCCGGGGGGCCGGGCTGCAGTGAGCCCTGGGCTGCGGGGAAGCCGCCCTCTGAGCATCTCTATGAGAACATCTTCACTGCGGAGCCGGGTGCAGGCAGGGCCGAGGAAGAGGAAGAAGGGCGGTGGGAGCTGGAGTGCCGGCAGGCCCCCGAGGGCCACAGCAGCGAGGCCACCCCCCTTTATGACAACCGGGCCGCCCTGACCCAGCTCCCGCGGGGCAGCCCCCAGCAACCTGAGCAGCGCTGGGGCCGGGGGGGACAGGAGGCGCTGTCGGGACGTGCCGGACACAAGCCCCATGGCACCCTCCGGGCCAGGCTGGTGCGGCTGCTGAGCCGGGAGACCCCCGGCCCGCGGGACTGGGCCTGATCCCGGTCTGGATGCGGGTCGGTGGCGCGGAGCGGTGAATAAAGAGCCGGGGCAGGACTCGGTGCTTCGCGGTCGGTGCTGCGGAAACAGGGTGGGGGCAGCTCGGGGCTCCCCGCCAGGGGGAGCCACTGTGCCCTCCACGGCAGGCAGGCGCGCGTGGTGATTGGCCAAGCTGTCCGCAGGCTCCGCCTCCCCCTCGCCGCTATATAGTGCAGGGCCGGGCGGAGCGGGGGCGGTGCCCGAGTTCGAGTCCCGCGGCCGCCGGTTTCCTCCGCTCCCCGCTGCGGTGCCCCCCGCCCCACCGGGGGCCCGCCCGGCCGCGGGTAAGTGAGTGCGGGAGGGCTGGGGTCCGCGTGCTCCGCCCGGGAGTGGGGTCTTGAGGGGTGCGGGGCTGAGGCCTGGGTCTGGGAGCAGGCACTTGGTTGGGGTCCGGCCCATGTGGGGCAAGGTCGGGGGCCCCGATCTCGGGAAGGGGGGGCTCTGTGGGCCGGGATGGGGAGGGGTTCCCCGTGGGGCGAGCTGCGGAGCGGGGCTCCGGGGGCAGGGCCGGCGGTTCCTCCGGAGCTGGAGGGATGCCCATGCCGGGGCTGCTGCGGACCCCGGCCCAGCCCCGAAGGGAGATAGGGGCTGCCTGCCCGGTCCCGGCGCCTCGGCGGGGCTTTCGCGGTGCCGGGCGCCGGGAATGCCTGACACGCAGCTTCCCCCGGCCCTCCCGAGCGGGGAGCGGGCTGGTGTCGTCTTACACGCCTTATATAGCCCGCGCCGGGCCGGCAGAGCGGGGCACGCTGGCCCCCAGCCCTGCGGCCTCCGCCACCGCCCGGTGCGAGGGGCAGGGAGGGCCTGGGCCCCTGTGCCCCCCGGCTGGCAGCGGCAGGAGGAGGGTGCCGGGGGCCCGTTCAGGTGAGGGGTGTCCGGAGGCCGCGGCTGCCCGGGCCCCGCCGGCTGACAGCTGTCAGTGTGGCCCTGGCAGGCAGCGCAGCGCCGGGATTCCCTCCCGCCGAGCCCCAGCTCTGAGCGCAGAGATGGGCTCGCTCCCAGGTACCATGTGCTGGGCCCGCTGCCGGAGCGCTGCTCGCTCTGCCAGGCGCCTCGGGTGGGGTCCCGCAGCTCCTGTGCTGCCGCTGTGCTTCCACCCGGCAAAACCGCTTCTGGTTCCCGTCCTTCCCTACCCGCTCCCAGTTCTCCGTAGTCTGAAACGGCCTTGGCTTTCAGCAGCGGGAGTTTCTGGGATGCTGCAAGGGGTAACACATGCCAGGTTTGGGCAAGGGAGGGCAAAGCCAGCGGGCACTCCACTGTGAGTGGCAGCGGGGCTATGCCTCACTCTTTGCACTAGTCAGCATTAGTCTTGGCTCTGGCGCTGCTGGAGGAGATGCTGATAGATTTGGGGTGCGTCTTTAACCACAGTGTAGGATGGTCAGGGTGGAAATGTGACCTGTCTCCTGTTGTGTCAGGCACCAGGCCCCCTCCTTGCCTGCTTTTTCCTGTGTATCCTAATGCCAGGATCACACTCTCTTCCCTTGCAGAGATGGGTGACATGGAGTCCTACAAGGTGATGCTGAACGGGCCGGCGCCCTGGGGCTTCAGGCTGCAGGGAGGGAAGGACTTCAGCATGCCGCTCTCCATCTCTAGGGTAAGAGAAGCCAGGACCAGTGATACCCACCCTTCCTCCTGCCTCAGGGGGTGGGAAGCCATGGTGACTGCATCCAGGTGGCTGAGGCAGAGATACGTGGAGGGTGTAGATGAGTTGGGGCCCTGGGAATGCTGCATCCTGCCCTGCTTGGCTCCATGTAGCCTCCTTGGTGCCTTATCAGCTGCAGCCCGGCTGGGGGTGTTCCGGGCAGAGATGTGAAACGCTGCACGGCCTCTGCAGAGTCATTCCACTGCTTGGGGGGGCCGGGGAGGCCCCTTCCTGAGCTTGCCCACCGCAGGGGGAGGGGAGCTGCTCTCACGTCTCTGAGCTGTGGGGCCAACGTTCCGGTCTGCACTCCAGTGCTGGGCTCTGCATCCCAGGACCCAGCCTGTGCCCTTCTGCCCCCTTGGTGTGTGCTTCCCAGCTCCGCACCTGAGCTGGCCGCTGAAATGGGCAGGGAGGGGAGGAAGCCTGTGCTGGTGCCTGCATGGAGATAGGGCTCCCTTCACAGAACCAGCCAATTCCTGCAGCGTGAGTGAGAGCCGCTGTGCTGCTGGTTGGGGCTGAGGTACCTGGTGTGAGCTGCTCCTGCTGTGATGCTCACCCAAGCCGTGTCTGGCTCCTGACTGTGCGTGTGTGTGTCCTTGTCCCTGAGCAGCCCTGTCCCCAGGGTGGGTGCTGGCCGGGGCTCTGGTCACACAATTGCCTTATAAGCATTGGAATGTGTCTGCATCGCCCATGCCGCTGCCGCTGGGGCTGCTGGCACGATGCTGCTTTTGCAAGGACCGTGTCGCTCGTGGCCCCGAGCCCTGCGTGGGGCCTGCCCCGGACACGAACCTGGCACCGTGTGTCTGTCCCAAAGAGCACGGGTCTCTGCAGCACCCCACACGGACCCTGGGCGCTCTGTGCCAGGCTGGAGCTGCCCCGGGGCCTGCGAATCGATGCTGAGCAGAGACGGCTTCAGCGGGTTTATGCGCTAAAAAATGTTTCCCTTGGCTGCGAGCCAGGGCTTAACAAAGGGTCTGGTTGGATGGAGGAGACTCCCAGGGCAGGGGCCTCGGGAAGCAACATCCCTGCTGTTCAAGCAGTCCAGTGCTGCCCTCGGGGCTCAGGCAGTGCTGCTGTCCTGGGCAGGGCAGGCAGGAGCAGGGAGGATGTTCCCAGGGGATGCAGCCAGCTTTGGCTGTGCTGTATGGAGGGTCGTGGGCCCTGTCTTATGGGAAGGGGTGACCCTGCGCTCCAGAGGCATCCCCAGCCCTAAAGCTCCTGCCCAGAGCACGCTGTTGTCCTTGGCCACTGCTTCCCTTGAGCAGGGAGCTGGCTGCACTGCCAGGCCGAGGGCTGCTGGAGCAGGCTGGAAGGAAGTGTCCTGCCCTGGCTTTGGGGGGTGCAGTGAGGCCCTGCTCTGTGGGAAAGCAGCACTGGTGCGTGTTTTGGCTCTTGGCTGTGTCCATCACCATGACACTGCTGGGTGAGCTGCCAGGCTGCTTCAGCTTGGTGGGCACATAGAGGTGCCACCCTGGTCCTCTGCATATTTCTTGCATGCTAAGGGGCTCTGCTGGGGTCCTGATACTTTGGCTAGACAGGCTGCAAGGACCTGCAAGGTCCTGAGCTGCTTGTAGTGGAGCCAGGGTAAGGGCTGGTGTCTGGGGGTCTGGGTGCTGTGTGGAGGAGAGACCCTTGGTGCTGCCAGCAGGACAGTGCTGGGGGATGCTTCCTTGGCCGCAGTGCAGGTGCCTCACTCCCCTCAGTGCTGTGTGAGGCTCTGGGTGCCCAAGCCGAGGGCACCTTTCTGGGTGCAGGGATGGAGGCACTGGGGAACAAAGGGCTGGCTGGGTGGACGGGGAGGAAGGAAGCCCTGGAAGCAGGAGGGCCGGCACGGCACTGCCATGGCTCCTGCCTGAGCTGGCACCTGCCGAAGGGGTTTCCTGGCGCGGGGAGCGGGGAGGGCAGCGTGGCGGTGCCGGGCAGGCGGGGTGCGGTGCGGTGCAGTGCGTGACGCAGGCTGGGAGCTCTCCCCTTCCCGTGCTGCCCTGTGCAAACCTCTCCCAGATCCCACTCCCGCTTCCAAACCTATGCAGTCACCCCGTGCCTTCCCCAGCCCTCCAGGGCAGCAAGCCGGGGCTTGCAGCGGTGCGGCCGGCGCCGCTTCGTGCCCAGGGCACCCTGCGGTGCTGGGTGGTGCAGGGACACGGGAGGTGGTACCCGTGTCCCGCTGGGGTGGCAGTGGGATGCAGGGGCTTTCAGGCCCCATCCAGCCTGGTTGTGGGGTTGTGGGGTTAGGGCTCTTGTGGAGGACCCGTGCTGATGTGGGGAAGGGGAGCACAGCTCTGGGACAAACCATGCCCCGCGCATGGGCAAGGAGGGGCTGGGGCTCGTCGCGGGGTTTTCTCAGCCCTCTGACAGCGCTGGGAATCTGGCTCGCTCCTTTTATGTTCATGTCGAACAGGACTTGAGGAAATAGTTGGTCTGGGTCCAAGCGCCTCAAGTTCTTCTGTGCTGGAGGAGCAGGAATGGCTGCAGCCTACCCACGTCTGTCTGTCTGTCTGTCTGTCAGTGCCTGCGAGCTGTGTGCGGTGCTCGGGGCCCTGCTCACCTTCCGCTGTGCATCCCCGGAGGGAAGGGAGAGGAGGGGAGGGCAGCCTCTGCTTCCCAGCACGGGGCTGCCACAGAGCCATGCTGGGGACAAAGCACATCCCCATGGCCGTGCTCCCGGCTGCCCCGGTGGGGTGAGGCCTCAGGGAGCTGTGTGGGTCGGGGTTGGTGTCTCCCTGCCCTGGGGAATGAGGTAACGTCTGCACCAGGAGGGAATGGGACGGGTGCCTGGGGGCTGCCTCCCTCCCCTGTCCCACCGCTGGCCCCGGTGATGAGCTGGACGTGCCTGTGGTTTGCAGCCATGTGTGGGCTGTCCGGTGGGTCCTGACTCACTGCGCTCGCTTCCCACCGCCGGGATGGCTCCCAGGGGTGCCGGGGCTGAGGCAGCACCGCCTCTGCCGGTCGGTGTCATGGGGACTGGCCCCGGGGTGCTGTCATGGCGCCAGCTGTGCCAGAGGGCAGGGTGGGCAGTGCTGTGGGCCAGTGAGCTGGGAAATGGGGGTGATGAGTGGGTCCCTACTTCCCCCTCTTCAGGCTTGTATGGGTGTCCTTAGCTGGGACCGAGCACATCCCTGCTGTCAGGACAGGGGTGTCCCTGTGCTCCCACATCAGCCGTGCTGGCTCTCCCTGATTCTCTCTGTCTTCCAGCTGACACCGGGCGGGAAGGCGGCGCAGGCCGGTGTGGGAGTGGGCGACTGGGTGCTGTGCATCGACGGGGAGAGCACCAGCTCCATGACACACATCGAGGCCCAGAACAGGATCCGCGCCTGTGGGGACAGGCTCAGCCTCACACTGAGCAGGTGGGAACTGTGAGGCCTTGTGTGGATGGAGCAAACCGCTCTGCCCAGTGCCATCTCCCAGCATCACTGCTTGGCCTGGCCGCCAGCCCTCTCCTGTGAGCCATGGGGCAATATCAGCAGTCCATGGCTTCCTTTGGGTGGGGGCTGCCTCCTCGGGATACCAGTGTCCTGGTGCTGGCTGGGCCGGTTCCAGTACCTGCCTCCTGTCTTCTCTCTTGCAGAGCTCAGAACCACATGGGGAAGCCGCAGAAGGTACGTGTTGCTCCTGGTGCTGCAGAGGTACCTCAGCCTGGTTTCAGGGGTGGGAATCGGCTCGGAGTGTACATGGACAAATGGACTTTGCTCCTGGGGCCTGCAGGCTTTTGGGGGGACCGGGGTGTGTTTGAAGGGCTGGAGAGCTCCCTGCTGGAGGAGCAGCCCTGACTGCAGGGGATCGGATGGAGCAGGGTCTGTCCAGCGGGCACCCAGGGCATGGCTGCTGCCTGCCTGTGCCCCTGCCAGTGCTGGCTGCGGGCAAGGGGCCAGAGGCCAACAGAGGGGAGGAGGCCAGACAGTTGCTCATGGCCTTAGGGCCCTGTGTTTGCCAGCGCTGGGCAGCGCCCTGGCACTGGGAGCAGGGCTGGGGCCGGTGACTCCTGGATGGAAGCCACCTGCATGCATTGAGCTTCGTGCTGCGGGGCAGTTTGGATCGGTGTGTGCATGCTCTGCCCCGCTGCGTGCAGCAGTGAGTGTCTGGGCACTTACTAATCCTCCATCAACCCTCAGGCTCGTGGCCTGCAGAGCGAGGTGCCAGCCTGGCAGAGCCCAGCGCCCTGCAGTGCCCATGCTGTCTGGCTTCCCTGCCTGCTGCGCTGCCCGGCCCCTTGCATGCTGCTTGATGTGTGAGCCCGTCTCTGTGTGTTTTGTCTCGCTCAGGACTCACTCCCCTGCTCTGAACCCCTGAAATATAACTTCGCTCCCAGCACCGCCCTCAACAAAACAGCCCGGCCCTTCGGGGCAGGCTCGCCTCCGAACCCACGGCCCGGGCTGGTGACGAAACCCGTGACCTACGCGCCCCTGGCGCCCGCCTGCACCCCCCAGCACAACGGGTACGTTGCTGTCTGTCCTGCTCCCCAAGGATCGGAGGGACCCCGTTGCCTGGCCCTGCTGTGCGTTGCATGCCAGGCCCTAGGGTGGTAGCGGGTGACAGTGCCCATGCCGTGGGCCCTGGTGGCTGGTGCTGAGGTGGCACAACGGGACTGTCACGCACAGCCATGCACGTGCTGCTCCCTTGCTCGGGGATGTGTCAAGCCGGTGGGGAGCCCTGCAGGGCATGGCATGGCATGGTGGTTGCAGCAGGGCATTCACTGGCATCTGTGGCAGCACGGACACAGCGGCTGCGCTGTGGCCACCAGCCAGTGCCTGCCCCGGGATGTCCTGCTGGTCCCATGGCTGCCAGGACGGGCTGGGCACAGTGAAGCCCTCGCACCCCATGCAGCGCTGTCTTCACCCTGCTTGCAGGGTAGAAGCTTTCCAGGCTGCCCACCCGTGTGTCTGGCAGCTGCCTGTCCCGGCCCCTCCTGCCAGGAGCTGCTGTGGTGCCCTGAGACAGGGCAATGGGGGGATGCAGCCCTGGGCACCCAGGTGCATTTTGGGGGGCTGAGGGAGGCATGGTCTGGTCTGGTCTGCTGGTGTCTGCCCCTGTGCCCCAGTGTGCTCCCAGCCCTGGGTAAGCTGGGCATGAGTCTTGGGGTAGGGGAATTGATGCAGGCCATAGGTGAGCTCTGGGACCTTCTCTGGTGCTGCGGGTCTAATTTCTCTTTCCTTTTTCTTTCTTTCTCTTCTCCCTTTCTTTTTCCCTCTCCCTTACAGGTGCTGAGCCTTGACAAGTCAGTAAGCCTTTTGCCTGCTCTTTCTATCCTCCCTGCATGCCTCTTCCCTGCTATTGTCAGCCCAGGGACAGGCAGCGTGTGCTGCTCTGCCCATGGCATGTGTCACTCGTGGCAGCATGCTGCCCCTAGCCTGAAGGGCAAGCGCTGCCTGTCTGCTGGGGCCCTGCAGTGTTCTCATGCATGGTCCCTTTCCTCCTCCCCAAGACATGTCTTAGTTGGGCAAGGGCTGTCAGCTGTGCTGGGTACCACGTCCAGGGCCAAGCAGGCATCACTGCCATGGACACCATATGTGTTCATTGAGCTCTCATGCAGCTGCCCTGCCAGTGATTTTTTTACCTTGGCTTATTCTTGCCCTGTCTTTTCCCCTGCTGTCCTGTGGGAGCAGTCTTACAATGCCAGGAACGGTGGTCAGTTCTCAATGGTTCCTCTTGCTGTGGAGGAGGAGTAGGGGGTGTGGGGAGCAGGCAGTGTGTGGTATCTCAGGTACTCCTGTGCTGCAGTTCTGACCTGGGGAAGGCGTGGGGCAGCCCCAGGGAGGTGATGCCGTGGGGATCTGTCAGATTTGACAGACCACTTTCACTCGCAGGCAGCCCCCGGAGCCCCCCAGCACCCCTGTATATGACCCCATGAAGTTGCGGCTGATAGAGGATGCTGAGAGCTGGCAGCCCCGCTCTGGGACCTCCCAGTCCCGCTCCTTCCTCAAACTGGCCCGGCTGACGGGCACTGATGGATGTAAGTTCCCTCAGGGGCTGGTGCTGGCAGCCTGGGGGTGCTCGGCTTTGCTGGGGTGACACAGCCAGATGGATGACCTGGTGTATTGTGGCACCGAGCATTGGCTTAGGCCCCGTGTGGCCTCTCTGAGCCGCTGGGAGCTGCCCAGGGCTCTGTGTGTGCTTGTGGTGGTGCCGCTAGGCTGGGGCCGTGCTGTGCCCCATGCCCGGGCAGGGCTGTGTGCTGGGGCAGGAGGAGAGGGCGGTTTTCCTGCCTTTCCTTGTCCTTCCTCCTGTGCCTGGTCCTCAGTGGCCATAGACTGACTCTCTCCTCCTTTCTCTCCTGCTGTGCTCAGTGGAGGATCATGAGGATGAGCTTGGTAAAGAGCCCAGGTAAGGGGAGCGTGCACCAGGGTAGCAGCAGGAGCCTTGATGGTGCCACTCAGGGCTGAGCCCACCCGGCTGGTTTGCACTCACTGCTTGCAGTGACTCTGGGGAAGCTCTTTGCCCTGTTGTTTCTTCTCTCCTCTCCTGTGGCTCCATCCTCACGTTCCATCTCTTCTCTAGCTCTTCCTAAGCTGAGCTCTTGATGGAGCTGCAGAGCCTGCCCTGCACTCGCCACACGATGGCACGATGGGCACCACCAGTGCTCAGCCACCGATCAGACCGTCACCTCGGCAGGGTCCTGCCTGGGCACCCGCCTGCAGGGCTGGCTGTCCTCAGTGTGCCAGGCAGGACCCATGGGCACTGCTGGCACTGAGCTGCACCGTTGCTTCTTGAGCAAATGAGACCTGGAGGAGGCTGGTGGCACTGGCAACACCTCACTGGGGGGGGTGGGAGGTGCTGGGAAGTACCTGGACCTGTGGGGTTGTGAGACAGATGGGCAGATGGGGGTGAGCGTCACCAGCGTTCCTGTGGAGCTGGGGGTGACCAGGAGGCTGGGCAGGAATGAATGCTGCTGGCTTCTCTGTAAGGCTGGGGGTGCGTATGGGAGGGATGCACTGAGCCATGGGTCAGTCACCCAGTGCTGCGCCGCCGGTTTTCTGCTGCCACAGGGATGCCTGTGGGTCTGGCTGTGACATGTGCTGGTGGTGAGGGTCTGGAGTGGGTGTTAGTGTGTGCAAGGACAGTTTGGGGTCACTGCCGTGTGCCCAAGCAGGGTCTATGGATGGTGCTGGCTGAGCGCCTGCCTCTGTCACTCGCAGGCAGCCCCCGCAGCCGCTGGAGCCCCCCAGCATCCCTGTGTGTGACCCTGGGAAGCTGCGGCTCGTAGAGGACTCGGAGAGCTGGCAGCCCCGCACCGGCACCTCCCAGTCCCGCTCCTTCCGCAAACTGGCCCAGCTGACGGGCACTGACAGCAGTGAGTTCGCACAGGACCCGGTGCTGGCTTTGCTGGGGCAGCTGGAGCCTGGCTGAGGCTGCACTGTGGCACCAGTGTGTTGGCTGTGTCCCCATACGGCTCCTGAGTCGATGGGCGCTGCCTGGGGCTGTGTGAGGGCTCCTGATGGTGTCACTGGGCTGGGGCCATGCTCTGCCCTGTGCCCGGGGAAGGCTGGGTGTTGGGGCAGGATGGTGGTGGGAGGAGGTGTCAGTTTTCCTGCCTTTCCTTTTCCTCCCTGCTGTACCTGGTCCTCGGAGGCCACAGACTGACTCTGTCTCCTCCTTTCTCTCCTGCTGTGCCCAGTGGAGGATCGGGAGGATGAGCTTGGTAAAGAGCCCAGGTAAGGGGAGCGTGTGTCAGCGCAGCAGCAGGAGCCACGATGATGCCCACTTGGGGCTGAGCCCACCCGGCTGGGTTGCACTCACTGCTTGCAGTGACTCTGGGGGAGCTCTTTGCCCTGTTGCTGGTTTTCTCTTTCATCCTCCTCTGTTCTCTACCTCTCCCAGAACTGCACTGTTGGCAGAGCCATGTGACAGGCACTGCCAGCATTCACTTACTGCTCTGACCATCACCTTGGGAGGGTCCTGCCAGGCTGTCCCCTGTGCTGGGTGTGCTGGGCAGGGCCCTTGGGCACTGCTGGCACTGAGCTGGGGAGGCTGAGCTGCGCCAAAGAGGATGTAATGGGTAGGGGCAGCTGGTGGCACTGGCAACACCTTGCTGGGGGCGTTGGGAGGTGCTAGACACGTACCTGGGGCACAGTGTCCTGTAGGGCTGCAGGTGGCTGCGAGGCTGGTCATGAGTCTGATGCACCTTTATGGGGCTGCAGGTGCATAGGGAGGGATGCACTGAGCTGTAGGTCAACCCCTGACTATAGTGCCACCGTTTTTCTGATGCCACAGGGATGCCCATGGGTCTGGCTGGGGCACAGGGCACCAGCGGTAAGTGCCAGGGTGCAGCAGGGGGGTTGGCATCTGTGAGGGCTATGTCAGCTTCCCTGCCTGTGCCCAAGCAGGGTCTATGGATGGTGCTGGCTGAGTGCCTGCCCCTGTCACTCGCAGGCAGCCCCCGCAGGTGCTGGAGCCCCCCAAGAGCCCTGTGTGTGAGCCTGGGAAGCTGCGGCAGGTAGAGAACACTGAGAGCTGGCAGCCCCGCTCTGGGACCTCCCAGTCCCGCTCCTTCCGCAGACTGGCCCAGCTGACGGGCGCTGACAGCAGTGAGTTCACACAGGACCCGGCACTGGGGGTGCTGGGCTTTGCTGGGGCAGCTGGAGCCTGGCTGAGGCCCTTGTGAGCTCTGGCACCGGTGTGTGCGTTTAGGCCGTGTTGCCCCTCTGGGCTGGGGGGGAATTGCCCAGGGCTGGCTCGCAGTGGTTGGGCTGGGGCTGTGCCCTGTGCCCGGGCAGGGATGGGTGTTGAGGGTGATGGGAGGGGAGGGCGGTTTTCCTGCCTTTCCTTTTCCTTCCTGCTGTGCCCGGTCCTCGGTGGCCGCAGACTGACTTTGTTTCCTGCTGTGCTCAGTGGAGGATCATGAGGATGAGCTTGGTAAAGAGCCCAGGTAAGGGGAGTGTGCACCAGGGCAGCGGCAGGAGCCATTCACTCCTGTAAGCCACTCACTGCTTTGCTCTGTTGTTTCCTCTCCTCTCCTCCTGCTCCATCCTCACATTCTGTCTCTGTCCTCACTCTCCCGAAGCTGAGCTCCTGATGGAGCTGCAGAGCCTGCCCTGCACTCGCCACACGATGGCACGATGGGCCCTCCAGCACTCAGCCACTGCTCCGACCTTCCCTGCGGGAGGGTCCTGCCCGGGCACCCGCCTGCCGGCCTGGCTTCTGCAATGGGGATGTCCTTAGAGTGTGCTGGGCAGGACCCTTGGGCACTGCTGGCGCTGAGCTGCACCACGGTGTTCCTGGACGTAATGGGTAGGGGCAGCTGGTGGCACTGGCAGCACCTTACTGGGGGTGTTGGGAGGCGCTAGACACATGCCTGGGGCACAGCGTCCTGTGCGGAGCTGTAGGGGGCTACAGGGCTGGTCATGAGTGAGTGCTGATGGCATCTGCGGGCCTGGGGGTGCATAGGGGAGGGATGCACCGAGCTGTGTGTCAGCCGCTGACCATTGTACCGCCGTTGTTTTTAATGCCGCAGGGAAACCCATGGGGCTGGCTGGGGCACGGGGGAGATGTGGTGGTAAGTGCCAAGGCCTGGCAAAGGGCTTGGTGTCTCTGAAGGCACTTGTGGGATCACTGCCCCGTGCTGCAGTGCGGGCAGGGGCTGTGCATGGTGCCGGCTGAGCGCCTGCCTCTGTCACTCACAGGCAGCCCCCAGAGCCGCTGGACCCCCCCAGGAGCCCCGTGTGTGACCCTGGGAAGCTGCGGCTGATGGAGGATGCTGAGGACTGGCAGCCCCGCACCGGGACCTCCCAGTCCCGCTCCTTCCGCAAACTGGCCCGGCTGACGGGCACTGATGGGTGTAAGTTCCCTCAGGGCCCAGCCCTGTTGGGCTGCCTGGGGGTGCTGGGACAGAGAGTGCCTGGCAGAGGCTGTGGGGTGATGTGGCACCGGGGCTTTGGTTGTGGCCCCGTGTGGGCTGCCCAGGCCTCTGGGTGTGCTCGTGGTGGTGCCGCTGGGCTGGGGCCGTGCTGTGCCCCATGCCGGGGCAGGGCTGTGTGCTGGGGCAGGAGGGCAGCAGGAGGAGAGGGCGGTTTTCCTGCCTTTCCTTTTCCTTCCTGCTGTGCCTGGTCCTTGACTCTGTCTCCTCCTCTCTCTCCTGCTGCGCCCAGTGGAGGATCATGAGGATGTGGTTGTTAAAAAACCCAGGTAAGGGGAGTGTGCAGGGCGGCTGCAGGAGCTGTGGGGCTGCGTGTCCCAGGCAGGACCTGCTGGGCGCTGCTGGCACCAAGCTGGGGATGCCAAACTGTGCCATGATGCCCCAGACACAGCAGGTCTAATGCGGCTTGTGGCACTGTTGAAACCTCACTGGGGTGGTTGTGGTGTTTGGGCAGCAGCTTTACATGGGGTGTAAGATCCTGTGAGCCTGGCGTGGGGCTGTGGGGTGGTTGGGCAGAGCTGCGTGAGTTTCACTTGCTGCTGCCTGTGAGGGGACAGAGAAGGGAGCTGGGGCTGTGTTAAGGGGTGCTGAGTGCTGTTCTTTGCCCCGTGCAGCTGGGCAGGGGTGATGCACAGTGCCCCTGTTCTCCCTTCCCCTCTCTGTGATGCCTGCTGCCCTGGTGCTGTGACCACTGGGTCCCAGCTGTGTCTGGTTTGCTCTGCTACAGATGAATGCTTCTGGGTTTGGAGCTCCTTGTCTTTGCCCTGGAGAGGCACAGAGCCCCTGGCTCTGCCTCTGTCCCTGTCCCCTCTCTCAGCTGGGTTGTGTCTGTCCGGCCCCTGCTCCCCAGCCCCGTGGTGGCAGCCTGGGGGGGCACAGGCCTTGTTCCTCCTAGGACCAGCCTGGCCCTGTGGAGCTGGCAGGGATGGCAGAGCCCTGCCTGTCCCCAGCTGTGCCAGAGCTGGGCCCTGGTGCTCCCCATTCCGTGTCAGGTCCAAGTCCCTCTGCACCCTGGTGGGGCTGGGGGTGACTGTCGTGTGAGTGGGAACCCAGGGTCTCTGTGGTCCCTGGGGTTCCTGGTCAGTCTGGAGCAGCCCAGAGCTGGTGTGAGACCCCATCAGGCCTGTGCTCCCTCCCATCGCTCCCTAGAGCACCACAGTGGGTGCCAGAGACCCTGGGCACACTGCGTCTTCGCAGGGCTGAAGGTGCTTGGCTTGGTACCCACCATGACCAAACCAGCTGCTGGCTGGGCACATGGGCTTGGCCGGCTCCTGCCTGCTTGTTGGGGTGGGGGAGTCCTGCTTGCACACACACGGGCCCGTTGGGCAGTGGGGTTGAGTGGGGCAGGCTGGATTAACTGCTTGTTCTGTAGCCAGGTCTCCGTGCCGGACCCATCCCCGGGAGCAGGGCTGAAGACTGAGCCAGGACTGGGTGAGCAAAACTTTTCCTGTGGTCTTGGGATGAGCAGGATGTGGGTGCTGGGGGATGCTGCTCGCCCGTCTATGGATGCTGGGAGAGGGATCAGGAGCACTGTCCTGGAGACCTGTGTGTGTGTGTGTGCAGCCCCCAGGACCCCCACCGCCACCCCTGGCCCTGCCAGCCGCCCTCCCTGGGCTGTGGACCCCTCGTTTGCGGAGCGCTACGCCCCGGACAAGACCAGCACGGTGGTGAGCAAGCACAGCCAGCCGGCCACACCGACCCCCATGCAGAACCGCAGCTCCATCGTGCAGGCAGCACAGCAGGCCCCCGAGGGGCCTGGCCGCACACCGCTCTGCTACAAGTGCAACAAGGTCATCAGGTGAGCCCTGCTCACCACCACCACCACCACAGCAGCATCCCGGGTCCCCGCATGGCTGATGTGCCTCTGTCTTGCTGCAGGGGACGCTACCTGGTGGCGCTGGGACATTATTACCATCCCGAGGAGTTCACCTGCTGCCAGTGCAGGAAGGTGCTGGATGAGGGCGGCTTCTTTGAGGAGAAAGGCTCCATCTTCTGCCCCAAGTGCTATGACACGCGCTACGCACCCAGCTGCGCCAAGTGCAAGAAGAAGATCACGGGGGTGAGTATCCCTCAGTCCGCCCCACACCTCCCATCTTTGCTTCCTGCTCGCCTATGGGCTCCTTCCCATCCCATGGGATCCCTTGTACCTTGGATGGGACCCCCCCATGGCATGGGGTGGTCCTGCCCCTGGCTGATGGTGGCTCCTCTCCAGGAGGTCATGCATGCACTGAAGATGACCTGGCATGTGCAGTGCTTCACGTGCGCTGCCTGCAAAACTCCCATCCGCAACCGTGCCTTCTACATGGAGGAGGGACAGCCCTACTGCGAGAGAGGTAGGACCTGGGGACCCTATGTGTCACCCTACATGGCACTGGGGCATCATCAGGGCTCAGCAGCTGCCCACAGTGGGGAGGGCAAGCTGTCCTGCACTGTGGGGCTCCCCTGGGTGACAGGGAACACAGAGACCCCACTTACACAGCCCTGAGCCCTCCATCCCGGTCCTCCCGGGATGCTCCTGGGGGTAGTGCCGTTGCTCCCATGTTGCCATGGTGATGACGCAGGATGTACATCAAAGGCGAGTGCTGCATCCTGGGAGATGAGGTTTGCCTCCTCCGTGCGCCCGGGGGCACAGCACAGGCATCTCTCCTGGGTGTCTCAGTCATCCTGCCCCTGGGGCTGGCAGCAAGTTGTGACTGGGGGGTCCTGGCTGTGCAGCAGCCCTGCTCCCCTGGCTGAGGGGCTGCAGTACTGGGGGACACTGACCTGGGCTCTGCCTCTGCTCACAGACTACGAGAAGATGTTTGGCACAAAGTGCCGCGGCTGCGACTTCAAGATCGATGCTGGGGACCGGTTCCTGGAGGCGCTGGGGTTCAGCTGGCATGACACTTGCTTCGTCTGTGCGGTGAGCCGTGGGCCTCCCTCCCAGGCTGCTGCCAGGGCTGTGGCTCTCCCTGGCAGTCGTGCCGTGCATGGGGTACACCAGCAGCATGGGGTCCCTGCTGCAGCAAGGGACCTATGCTGGTGTCTCAGAACCCTGCCTCCTGCCATCTGCACCACACCAGTGCTGAGCTCTGGGCTATGGGGGGAAACCAGGGGCTGTTTCGGCCCCCCTGACCTGACCTCCTGTGCTCTCTCTCTTCCCCAGATCTGCCAGACCAACCTGGAAGGGAAGACATTCTACTCCAAGAAGGACAAGCCGCTCTGCAAGAGCCACGCTTTCTCCCATGTGTGAGGGGCAGGAGTTCAGCTGTGCCCACGCGTGCCCCTGGCCCTGCATGCTCCTCTCCACCCCACCCCTGCTGCCCCCAGGGAGCCAGGCTGGGCCCTCACCCTTTCCCCTTGCTCCTGCCTCTTTCCTGGCAGCTCCTGGCCTGGCTCCAGCCCAAGGTAGTGCTGGGTCCAGAGCCCCTTATAGCTGTGTCTGCTGACTGGCCCTAGGAGCCCTGGGACAGGGATGCTGCATGGATCTCCTGCCCCCCAGCCATGCAGTGTGGTGGTTATGGTCATGCTGAGGCTGGAGCTGGGGGAGGGTCTGGCACAGCAGAGATGTTCCCTTGCTCAGCTGAGGCCCTGCTGCCTGGCAGCTCAGCGCTGGGGCAGGGATGCTCCAAGCACATCCCTGACTGGGTGAGGACCAGGCCCCTGCCACGCTCTCTCCCATCTTTCCTGCTGTGTGCTCAGTGTGTGGGGCTGGAGCCCTGGCCCCACTCCCCTACGGGCTCCTGCCTGCAGCAACCTCCTGACCACCCCACACCTTGCTGTGGTGGCTTCCTGCCTACCCCAGCTCTGTGCCAAAGGGTCTCTGCCTTATGTGTCCCCCCCCCAACCTAGGCCCACTGCTCCCCTGTGGCTGGCGTGTGGCAGCACCCCCCCTGTGGCTGTGCCGGGGTGCAGGGCATGGCTTCCTACCAAAGAGCGCTCTGCCACTGCCAGCCTGGGCCTGTGGATGCCTCTCCCACCCCCACGCTCTCCGGTCGGGTTGCTGCTGATGTAGCCACGGTGCTTTTAGTGCCTTTAATAAACACTTCTCTGCAAGTGCCGCCTGTCTCAAGGCTTGTGGCTTCACCCAGCGAGGTGCAGCCGGCTGGGAAGGTCACGGTCAGCCCTTGCCCTGCTCCCTCCCAGGGCCTGACTCAGCTCCTTCCAGCTTTCCAGGGAAAACCCTGGCCTCGCAGTCCACCTCCTCTGCCTGTGTCAGCGTGGGCTGAACCCGTCATCACTGGGGTTGTCCCTCTGTCTTCACAGCAAGCAGGGCTGCTGATGGAGGCAGTAATTATGGGGGGGCAAAGCTGCAGCAAGGGAGGATAGGGCAAGGTGGTCCCTGCTTTACCCAGTTGTGTCCCCTGGTCCCTGCTGTGCCCTGGGTCCGAAGAAGCGGGGGCACGCGTGGGCCACGTGCACCGGCTCTTGGCACGCTCCAGCATAGATCAGCCAAGCGCTTGCTCATGGCTGCAGCTGCTGTCCCAAAGGAGGGGTGCGAGGCCAAGCCAGCCCCTCCGGCTGCAACGGGCTCAGGGCAGCGGGTGTGGGGAAGAGCTGCTCCTCCTGCTCCGCTTTGGCAGCTGGAGCGGTCATTAATAATTGCAGCTCTTACCGTGATGAACAATTGTAAGGCAAATTGCTCATCTACTGGAAGGTTCTGCCGAGGGCAGGAGCTGGCTGGGGGAAGCCAAATGCCTCCCTCCCAGCATCACCCGGAGCTGGTTTGTGGCTGCGGTGCCAGCTGCAGGAGTGCAAAACCCCGTCTAAGGTGGGGAGGGGGAAGCAAGAGGGATGGAGGTAGGCAGTGGGTGCTTGCACTGAGGTATGTGGGGCAGTGGGACGGTCACACTGAGAAGCAACAGGACATGGCTGACAAAGGGAACAGAAACAGCCGGTGCCTGCCTGATGGGGCCGGGACAAGCAGGGCTGTGGTAAGAGCCCCAGTGTGCGTCCCGGCTGCAGCCAAGGTCAGGGGAAGCACAGGGGAAGGTGAAGCGATGGTGGCCTCACGTGAGCAGCCACCGAGCCAACGCTGGCTCAGCCGGGACAGGGGCAGGGGAAGCAGCCGTGCGGGACAGAGCCCTGTGGGGTGGCAGGGCCCTGGAACTGGTTGTGCCAGCTCAGCCCCCGGGTACCTGACCTTGGAGCAGAGGCATGGCCGCAGCCTGCCTCTCCTTTGTGCTACTGCAAGGCACGCATCCACTGGGGGCTCAGCCCCTTCTCCTTGGTGCCCTGTTGCCTCTGGCCCCTACTGATGACACCTCTAGCACCCAATGTGCTTCTGTGCTTTGCCGGGAGCAGCTCTTGCCCCCCAGCTCCGTGCGCCAGGCGAGAGGCAGCGGAAGGAGGGTCTCGGGTGGGATACGGAGGTGGAGCCTGAGGAGGGGCTGCGGCCGCTGCTCGAGAACAAAGCCCGGCAGCAGCAGGCTCAGGGCTCCCACCGTGTCCTAAGCCGGGGTCCCACCACATCCACCCCAATGGCAGCGGAGCTGCTTGCAGGGTGCCTGCTGCAGCCCCGGCCCCTGCGCTGGCCCCGGCAGCTGCTCCACAGCTGCTCGCACACTCCCGCAGCCTCTGAGGGCGTGCTCCAGCGCCGGCCTGGCTCCGAGATGCTGCTGTGAGCAGGGTTGGGGGGAGCAGGCAGGGCCCCTTGCACCCCGTCCCTTATTCCACCGAGTTTGGGGGCTCATCCACAGGCAGCTCTGAAGGGCTTGGTTTGGGAAGGGCCACACCAGCATTGGCCCAGCTTGTGGGTGTCAGTCCCTGTGTACTCCCCTCTGCTGCTCCAGCACAGAGACCCCTTCAGCACGGCTCTGGGATGGGATGTGGGCAGTGCTAGGGGTCGGGGGGGTAATGACAATGCTGTCTGCCCTGGCAGGAGGGTGTAGACCCTGCCGGGAGCCCTCAGAGCCCTGCGAGGTCCATGCAAGAGCAGCTTTGTGGGTTCATGTGGAGGCAAAACCTCCTGGAAAAGGCACCATCGTACTCAGAGATGGGGGGGTGGGGGGGCAGGTGGGTGGCAAAGGGGCCCCCACAGTGGCTGTGCCCACTGATACCTTGTGCAGAGCGAGGGCATGGCTGGGTCCCTGGAGCAGAGCCCACAGTGCCACATCCTTGGAGAGGAAACCTCAGGGCACAGGGGCAGAGGGTAGCTGAGGGCATAGGATTCCCGGTGTCCCTAGAGTGGGGGGACATGGGGCAGAGGAGGGTCTGGGGTGCAGAGGGGCAGTAGGTGCCCAGGTTGCAAGGTCCTGGGGAGGGGTAGCACAGGGCACCAGTGCCCAGGGTAGAGGAGAGCCCGGAGTCAGGAACACCGGGGGCTCAGGGTCCCGGCGGGGAGCTGAGCCGCGCTGCAGCTCTTCTGGTTCAGAGCCTGTGGTGCGGGGTCAGAGCAGAGCGCAGGCTGCGGGTCCCTGGGGTGCAGGATCTTGGGGCCGAGCCGTGTGCGGGGGCACCCCCGGGGCGGGTGGGTGCTTGCCCGCACCTCCGTGGGCGAGGTGCGGTGCCCGGCGGCGCGGGCCGCGGTGTGCCCCGGAGGTGCCCCGGGGGCGCGGCGGGGCCGGGGCGGGGGCCGGGCTGGGGGGTGGGGGGGGCGGGGAGGGGGGGGCCGCCGTTCGCGGCGCTAGGACCGGGCGCGGCGGCGGGCGGAGCCTCCCCGCCGCTCGCCCCTCCGCCCGGCCGCTGCGGCAGTGTCTCGGAGGCGGGCAGGCGGCCGGTCCCTCCGGTCCCCCCGGCAGCATCCCGGCCCCGCCATGGCTGGCGTCGGCTTCGCGGCGCACCGCCTGGAGCTGCTCGCCTCCTACCAGGACGTGATCGGCGAGGACAGCCCCACCGACTGGTGAGCGCGCCCGCCGCCGCCGCCGCCCCTTTGTCCCCGCCGCCGCCGCCGCCCTTTGTGCACGGAGCCGCCCGGTATCACCGGCCGCGCCCCGCGCTGCGCCTCCCGCCGCCCCGGGCCCGCGGTGCCGGCAGCCCCGGCACACAAAGGCGGGCGGGGCGGCGGAGGGGGGGGGGGGGGGGAGAGCGGTGTGCCCGGTCCGCGGCCCCCGGTACCCGCACCTGCCCGCCGCTGCCGCCGCACCGGCCCGGGGCGCGGTCCCCGCTTTGTCTGCGCCGGGCCGGCACGTGCGAGCGCCGGGACCCGCCGCCTCCGGGAGCCCCCGGCACGGCCCGACCTCCCGCGGGGAGCAGAGCATCCGCGCACGGCGGGGAGGGCCCGGCGGTGCCCCCGGTGCTGGGCCCGGCTCCGGGTCCCTCTCCATTGTCTGGAGCCGGAGCCGCGGGTAGGGGCGCCCGGGGAAGGGAGAGATCGCGGTTCCCTCTGCCCGGCGGAGCGAGGCCTGCGGCCGCCAGGGCACCGGGCATCCCCACCTCCCGGTCCCGCTTTCCGCGGTCCCCCAAGCTCCCGGGGTGCTCCATCCCCGCGGGGCCGCAGTGCATCGGCCCGGAGCTGCCCCGCCGCGGTGATGTGCTGCGGGCTCGGGACGAGGGGGCCCTTCCCCGGCGGGACCCCCGCGCTGCCCCTGCCCTGCTCTACCCTGCCTGCACCCCCCGTGCGGGGCACCCTGTGCTGCGAGAGCCGGGGCCCGGCGGGACCCAGGCCCCGCTGCAGCCGGTGCAGCAGCCCGCAGGGAGCATCTCCCCATCACCCTCCTGGTCCTCCAGCACCCATCCGCATCTCCCAGCCCCACCCGGGTGCCGTGGGGCTGGCTGGGGGTGTCTGGCCCGGGATCCTCTCCTTGCCCCCCAGGGTGCCTGTGCCGTGTGGTGGTGGGGGGGATGCTGCTGGTATCCTGGGGTGCAGCTCGCTGAGCAGAGCTGGGTGCTGGATGCATGCTGTTAGTGCTGATGTCTGATGGGGATGCCAACCGTGCACCCACCACCCACTCCGGGTGCACCCGCTGCCCAGCTTGGGGTATCCAGCACCTTGGGGTGCACGCCGCTCTCTAGCCGGGTCCCTGCTCTTGGGACACAGATGCGGTCTGGGAGCCACCCGGGCTTTGTGCGCCTGGGCAGGTGTCCCGTCCCCCCCCTGCCCCGGGTCTCTGGGGAGCCCCACAGTCCTGCTGCCAGCCCAAAGGCGCTGTGGGGAGTGCGGTGTGTGCTGGCCAGGAGGCAGCTGTCAGCCCTGGGTACATCGCTTCCCGGCATCTGCTGCAACGAGCCCTCCCTGCCAAAGCTGCTGAGAGCAGCAGAAATGGTTCCTGGGAAGGCAAGAGCCAGGGCTAGGCTCCCCCCCACCTCCAGCACTGAGCCCCATCCAGGCAGTGAGCCTCGGCCATCCCCATCCTCAGTGTTGAGCTTGCCCCATCATCCGCAGCCCATCCATCCCATGGACACTGGGAGTATCAGGCACTAGATGCCAGGTGGGAGCAGCATCCCCACTGCAGGGCCCAGTGCCTGGGTGTGGGATGAGGGGTGATGCTGTGGAAGCTGCACTGGGGAAGGTGATGGGGACCATCCTCCCAGCGTGGCTGAGCCAGGGGCTGTTAGGACACTGCGCAGGAGCCCAGCCTTGTGTTGGTGCCGAGGGATGCCGTGGTCTTGCCCAGTTGGGATCCCTGTGTTTATCCCGAGATCCTTGTGTTTAGTCCGGGATTCCCCCTGCTCCAGCCCGGTCCTGGAGGGTCCAAGCATCCCCTCCCCCTGCCCGGCCCCGCGGAGGCTGCTGGGGCCCATTACTCGATCAGAAAGGAATTTGGTGCTGCCTTCTGAGCACGCCGACTCCCTGGAGCTCCCAGCCACATTGGAAACACATGTGCCCGGGCTGGGGTGGGCGGGCTGGGGCGATGCTACCCCTCCCCAGCCACAGCGTGGGGTCAGGCAGCTGCCGGTGCCCCATGGGTGCTGCTCCAGTGAGCCGTGGGGCCATGCCAGGACAGTGGGGCCACTGTCCCCTTGATGGGGTGATGGAGGATCTTCACTGGAATCCCCTAGGCATAGGGAGCCCACCCTGCCTGGGCTGCACCAGGCACCTCTGGTGATCTGCATGCCTGGAGCCCAGAGGTGGGAACGGGCTTGTGTGGGTTGGGTGGAGGGATTAAAGCCCAGGGAAGGGGGCGAGTGATGTAGGATGCTGCCTGCACCCACTGTGACGTGGCTGGTTCCTGCTGCTGGGGTGATGCTGTTGAGCTGTGGGTTCCTGGGACACCCCTGGGGATGCTGCTGGCCCTGCTCACCCCCAGATTGGAAACCTTTGGATCCTCCATCCTTGGAAGTGCTGCCAGGCCGTGCTGCTGGCCTGTGTTCCGGGCATGGCTCTGTTTCTGCTGCAAGCCCCGGCTGTACTGGGAGCATCCCTGGGTGCAGGCAGCAGCACTGCACTCAGCTACCACCCTGCATGGTCCCAGGGGGATGAGACCAAGCAGTGGGTGCCCACAGCACAGCAGGTCCTGGGTTGGGGCTGCAGTTGCAGGCAGGGGCTGCATTTGCCCTTCCCCAGCACAGCATCACAGACGGCGCTTTGCAGCTGCTTTGCCGGCTCCAGGCCGGGAGCTGGCGCCGGCTGGGGCGGCCGATTAGCGGGATCGGGATGTGCGGATTAAAGTCAATCTTGTTGGTGCAATTATCTGCGGCTCGCTGCCAGGGGCTGTAGGTGCCAGGGGGTGGAGGGAGCCCCCCTCCCTGTGTTCCACACCCACCTGCCTTCCCCTTTTTCTCCAGCACCCAGGGTCCAGCCGTGGCCCTGGTTTGGGGGTGGCTCTACCCGTAGGGACCCCCAGGTTCGCATCCCCCAGGCTGTGGCTGGAAGCCGGGTGAGGATGGCTCTGCTCAGCACTGGGGGGATTTTGGTGCTCTGACAAGCACCGCACAGGCGCCGCCAGCCGAATGCCGATGGGCAGAGCCGCCCTGGCTCAGCGATGGGGGGGTCCAGCACGGGCGGCCCCAGCTTTCCGGGTGCAGCGTGTGACGGTGGCAGGAGGTTTGGGTGCCTGCCAGGCCCCGGCAGATCCCCGCTGCCTGCCTGCCTCCCCCGCTCCCCTCCACTAATCACCTCGTCATCAGGGCGAGCTGCATCCCAGCTGGGATGGGGGGGTTGCCATGGCGATGGAGGATGCTGGTTGCCTAGCAACATCCATCCCCTCGCCCACCTGCCCTGGACCAATTTGGCATGTGTTCTCCCCCCCCTGTATAACTGGCTGCATGCCCCTAGGGAGGTGCAGGCTGGTGGGGGTCCCCATGGAGCCCCGGTGGGGCTAGCCAGGGTGCAGTGGGAGCGAGAGGGGGTTTCCCATCCGCTGGGAATGGTTTCCAAGAAACAGTCTCCATGACGGCCCCATCACACCCCGGCGGCACATTGATTTGCTGCTGCTGGTGCACCGGCATCCTCCCCCGGCCTGGTGCCTGCTGGGCTGGCAGCTCACGCAGCTCAGCACGTGAGCGGCCCCGAGCTCCCTGCCAGGCCATGGGGCTGGCCCCAAAAGTGGTCGGTAGCTGGCAGGGGCGGGGGGAGGACAGGGGCAGGCGTGTGAGGAGCCACAAGGCCACGGTGGCTTGTGTCATGGCACGGCTGCCAGCTGTTCCCTGTGTCCAAGTGACCCTTCTGTCCCCAGCCTGGAGACCCTGCCTGCAGGGAGGGGGAATAGGCCCTGCCTAAAGCCCTGGCAGCCTGGCCCTTCACAGTGGTGATGGACAAGGGTTTGGGGTGGCTGTGTGGCAGCTTGGGGACACATGGGCAGGACTCCATTGACCTCAGTGTTATCAGGACGGGGAGGTGGGAGGCTGGCTCGTGCTCCCCCCAACTGTGGCTGACCCACACTGCTTCCCCAGGGCTCTCTACACGTACGAGGATGGCTCCGATGACCTGAAGCTGGCAGCATCAGGAGGTAAGCTCCTCTGTCCCCACAGCTCGGCTCTGCCAGCCTCTTCCCCGGCACCCATCCTGGTGCTGGATGGACAGAGGCTGACGGTGCTGTGCCAGGCGGAGGTTTGCTGGAGCTCTCTGGCCACTTTGAGATCCAGAAGGTGATGTACGGCTTCTGCAGCGTCAAGGACCCCCAGGCCGTGCTCCCCAAATACGTCCTCGTCAACTGGGTGAGTGGGGGTGGTTGTGCTGGTGGGGCTGTGCTGTGCTCACCAGAGCCACAGTGCTGGCAGGGGCATTGCTGGGTGCAAGGCCAGGGAGGATGCGGGTGCCCCCTTGTCCCACTGCCCATGGTGGTCGCCCTGCCATCCATCCCTGCCATAGGTAGGTGAGGACGTGCCAGATGCCCGCAAATGCGCCTGCGCCAGCCACGTAGCCAAGATTGCCGAGTTCTTCCAGGTGGGTGATGCTGGGAACGGGGATGATGCTGCTGGGGCATGGACCCTGGTCCCTGACGGCTGCTTTCCCCCCTCCCCAGGGCGTGGATGTCATCGTCAACGCCAGCAGTGTGGAGGACATCGACCCCGGGGCCATCGGGCAGCGGCTCTCCAATGGTCTGGCCCGGGTCTCCAGCCCGGTGCTGCACCGCCTGCGGCTGCGGGAGGACGAGAACACCGAGCCCGTGGTAATGTCCCCATGGAGGCACTGGCGATGGTGGCGGCGATGGCAGCGGGTGGGGGGCGTCCCTCCCGCCCGGGGCTCCTGTCTGCCGCAGCCCGTCACCCTGTATGCCGCTTACTGTTATATCCCCCCTCGCTGATCCCAGCCCCTCCGTCCCCCCCGCCTCTCCTCCGTCCCAGGGCACCACGTACCAGAAAACCGATGCCACCGTGGAGATGAAGCGGCTCAACCGAGAGCAGTTCTGGGAGCAGGCCAAGGTGGGGCACGGGGAAGGCAGATGGGGAGCGGGGTGAGCTGCTGGCAGGCTGATGGGCAGCCCCGTCCTTCATCCATCCCCCCCCACCAGAAAGAGGAGGAATTACGCAAGGAGGAAGAGAGGAAAAAGGCTCTGGATGCCCGGCTGCGGTTCGAGCAGGAGCGGATGGAGCAGGAGCGGCTGGAGCAGGAGGAGCGGGAGCGGCGCTACCGGGAGCGCGAGGAGCAGATTGAGGAGCACAGGCACGGCGGGGGCTGCGGCGGGGCTTGTGTGCGGGGATGTGCGTGTCTGGGGGGTGCATGGGTGTTTGCTATGGGGAAGAAGTTGTTCCCATTGTGGGTGCTGAGGCGCTGGCACAGGGTGCCCAGAGAAGTGGTGAATGCCCCATCCCTGGCAGTGTTCAAGGCCAGCTTGGACAGAGCCTTGGGTGCCATGGTTTAGTGTGAGGTGTCCCTGCCCATGGCAGGCGGATGGAACTGGGTGATCTTGAGGTCCTTTCCACCCCAAACCAGTCTGTTATGATGTGATGGGTTGGGGCAGGGGCTGGCAGGAGCCGGTGCCCAGCCCCTCTCCTGTGCCCCCGTCACAGGCGGAAGCAGCAGAGCATGGAGGCAGAGGAGGCCCGGCAGCGCCTGAAGGAGCAGTCCATCTTCGTAAGTACTGCATCAGGCACGGAGCCGGGCTCGGAGCCGCAGCCTGGCATCACCCCCAGGGAAGGGCCTTTCCCAGCTGGGTCCCCAGGGCATGCCGGGGCTGGGGGTGACGCTGTGTCCCCGCAGGGGGAGCAGCAAGAGGAGGACGACAGGCAGCAGCTCAGGAAATCAGAGTCGGAGGTGGAGGTGAGTGTGGTGTCAGCCGTGCCCCGTGCTGGGCCTCGCTCCCCAGAGCATGTGCGGGGTGCCTGGGGGGGGGTGTTGGGTCTCATCCTCCCCCCCGTCCCCGCAGGAGGCTGCTGCCATCATCGCTCAGCGGCCCGACAACCCCCGGGACTTCTTCAAGCAGCAGGAGCGGGTGGCATCGGGCAGCAGCGACGCCATCTCACCGGGCAGCCACAGGACAGGTGAGGGGCTGGGGGGGCTGCAGAGAGCCCCGGGGGAGCAGGTGAGTGCGGGATCTGGGGGGGTCCCCTCTGCTGTCCCTCAGCGCCATGGTTGTGGGTGCCATGGGCACAAGGATGGCAGGGCGCCATCCTGCTCTGCTGCGCCACCATCACCGCCACTGCCACCGCGCCTCACGTGGCCCCTGCAGCCGGGGCAGCTTGGCAGGGGCTGGATGTCAGTGTCTTCAGCAAGGGGGGGTCATCCCGCTCCTTGCTGGGTGTCGTCCATTCACCCTTCATGGCACCGTGCTGGCAGCCAGGTTGGCAGCGTGGTTGGTGCGGCTGGGGTTCGGGGTGGCTTGGGAGCCCATCCCATGAGGGCAGCTATGAGAGTAAGTGGGGCACCCAGTGTGCTCCTGGCTGGCAGGGAGTGCCCCATAGAGAGGCTGGGCTGCCCCACAGTGAGGGGTCCAGCCCTGGGCCTCTCTTTGTGGCTCTGGGGTAGGGGCTGGTGGGCACCTTGTCCACGGGGCCATGTCATTGCGCAGAGCTGGGGGTCGTGCTGTGGGGCTGTGCTGTGGGGCTGTGCTGGAGGGAGCCTGGGAAGTGTGTTCTTGCTGTGGGGTCGTGCCATGGGTCATGCCATGGGCTGTGCCATGGGCTGTGCCGTGGGGCTGTGCTGTGGAGTTGTTCCTCAGGGCAAAGCCGTGGGGCTGTGCCGTGGGCTGTGTTTTGTGGCCGTGCCGTGGGGCTGTGCCGTCAGTTGTGCCGTGAGTTCGTGCTGTGCCTGAGCAGATAGTTGGTCCCAGGGCTGTGTCCTGGCCTCTCTTCCCACATGGCCATGCAGCACCACCTCCCATTCTTCTGTCCTGCTGTCTTTCCATCCCCTTGTCCCACCATTCTCCCACCCTGCTGTCAGTGCTGCCTCCTGTCCTGCCGTCCTCCCATCCCGGTGCCTCCGTGTCCCGGCCCCACCATGGCTGCGCTGAGCAGGGACTGACCCATCTCTTTGCTCTCTCTCTCTCTCTCCGTCCGTCTGTCTGTCTGTCTCTCTCTCACAGGTCGTCTGCACTGTCCTTTCATAAAGACAGCTGACAGTGGGCCGCCTTCCTCCTCCTCCTCATCCTCCTCCCCCCCGCGGACCCCCTTCCCCTATATCACCTGCCACCGCACCCCAAATCTCTCCTCTTTCTTTCCATGTAGGTAGCTGGGAGCCCCTGGGCGTGCAGCTTTGGGGGGGCCGCGTCACGGGCGGCTACAGCCCACCCCAGCCCCACAGCACATGGAACCGACAGCAGAGGCAGCGCCGCTCCCATGGGCACCCTACACACCTCAGCTGGGGCTCGCCCCGTGGCGGGTGCTGTGCCCCTGGGGTGGGAGGATGCAGCAGGCTCTGCCTGTGGGGCAGGTTGTGCCCGTGGTATGGGAAGGGGGCAGTGGGTAGGCTGTGTTTGTGGGACAGGGCAGAGCTGTACCCATGGGGCACGCCGTGCCCATGGGCAGGCAGGGACGGAGCAGGCTGTGCCCTGGAACGTGTAGGACTGTGTCCATAAGGCTGTGCAGGATGGAAAGGCTGTGCCCATGGGGCAGAAGGGGCTTGGGGCCATGTGGGACTGTCCCCCACAATAACTGGGGATGGCAGGGCACAGAGCTGTGCCTGCAGGGGCTGGGCAGTGCCAGGGCCCAGCAGGGTGATGTATGGGCAAAGCCAGCGTGCACCATGGCATGTATGGGTCTGCCTGGCCGATGTGGGGTCTGCAGCTGCGTGGGGCCAATGGGCATGCCTGGAAGGGCACACGGTGGTTGTTGCACCCATGGGTGCCTCTGCCCCATCCGCCAGTGCAGGATGCAGCAGCAGGTACACGGTGCCATGTTTGACAGCTCATGGTTGGCGTGGGGCAGGAGCAGGGCCGGTGCTGGGGGGCCGGTCCCCTGCCTGTGTGCGCACCCCGCATCCACCCCTCCATCTCCCTTGTCCGCAGGCAGCCAGTCGGACGCGTACCGCAAGGCCTCGGCAGCGGGCTGCAGCCCCTGCGAGCGCAGCCCCGCTGCCACGCCGCTGGGCACGCCGGGCACCCGCGTGCCGGGTGACGACACACCAGCAGCGCCCAAAGGTGGGCGCAGGGCTGGCACTGCCCGGGCTCAGCCCCTGCTGCAGCCCGGCCGCCCTCCCTTGCATGGCATTGTGCATCCGTGCTGTCCTGTTTGCACCCCTGCCCTGCCGGCTCTGCTGTGTCCCCAGCACATCCCCGCCGTATCCGCTGCTCCGCACCGGTGCATCCCCGCCGTCTCTGCTGGTTCCCCCCCCTACAGTGCTCCGCCGTCATTGTTGCACCCCTGCTGTCTCCAGTGCATTTGCTAACACCAGTGCAACCCTGCTGTCCCTGCATTTCCCATCTCCAGTGCATCCCTGCTATTGCCAGTGCATTCCCTGTGCCAAACATCCCTGCCATCTCTGCATCACCCCAGTGCAGCTCCCACTGTCTCTGCTGCATCCCCCAATGCGATTCTGCCCTATCTGCCATCCGCACCAGTGTTGCTGCTTCCTTCCGTGCATCCCCAGTATCCCACTGCATCCCTAATGCATCCCAGCCAGTTATGATGCAGTCTCTGCGTGTCCCTGCTCTGTCCCCATTAGCCCCTTTGCACTCTCTGGTGCATCCCAGTTTTCCCTTCTGTATCTTTCCAGTGCACCTCTCCCTGTCCCCTCCACATCCCCTGAGCTTCCCAGCTACTTCCCCCACCCAATAGGGCTAAGTCACCCTCCAAGGGATCGCCTTGCTCCCCACCATGTTCCCTCCATCCCTGGGTCCCCTCCCTGCCCACTCACTCCCACCCATCCCCACAGCATCTCCCCACCCAAAGAACCCCCCCTCCCAAGTGCAGCCCTTTCCCTGGGTGTCCCTGATCCCTGGATGAGGGGGCTGCCCCCACTGACTGCTGTGCCCCCCTTGCAGACACCCCCAGCCCCAGCACCCAGGAGGCCGAGCCAGCCACCCCCGAGCAGCACTGGCCCTTCCCGGGGCCTGAGGACAAGGCCACCGAGCCCCCCGGGGACGAGCCCAGCCCCAGGCCGGTGTGGACAGCGGGGGGTGACATCCTGGGGGACCTGGTGACCCTGGAGCCCGCTGAGCCCTCCCCGCCACCCACGGCCACCGAGCCCCAGCCCGGGGGGACCCCCAACCCCGAGAGCCTCATCGACCTGTGGCAGAGCGACGGGGCTGCCCCCCCGGCTGCCTGGCCCCTGCCTGCTGCCCCTGTCCCCGAGGGACCCCCGGCTGCTCTGCCCGACGAGGGGCCCCTGCTCAGCCTGGATGAGCTGCCCGAGCCCCCCGCCACCTTCTGCGATGCGGAGCAGGAGGAGGAGGAAGAGGAGGAGGAGGAGGCAGCCGGTGGGGGGGGCCCCCAGCCCGGGGGGCTCGGCTGCCAGAGTGCCCCCCAGGAGGATGTCCCGGGCCGAGAGACCCCCCCCATCACCAACGGGGAGATGGCCCCCAAGGATGGGACGCCGGGTCGTGGGGAGCAGGTGAGCATCACCGGGGGGAAGGTGGTGGGGGGGTGATGGGGTGGATGGGGGGGGTCCTGACCATTGCCCCCCACCCCAGGCCAGCGAGGGCTACTTTAGCCAGTCCCAAGAGGAGGAGGTGCCCCCCCCCGAGGAGCCATCGGCCAAAGCCCCCCAGCCTGTCTTCTACAACAAGCCCCCAGGTGAGTGGGGACGGGGAACATGGGGGGATTGTCCATCCCTCTGTTGGACATCCCCACCATGCTGACCCCCCCACCTTGTACCCCCAGAGATTGACATCACATGCTGGGACGCAGACCCCCTGCCCGAGGAGGAGGAGAGCTTCGGGGGGGGTCTGTAAGCCCAGGCCCCGCTGCCGGCACCCGCAGCTTGCCCTGGCCGGCGGGGGGCATGGGGGGGGGGCACAGTTGGGGGCCTGGACCCCCCCCGTTACCCCGCTGGAGCCCCACAGGCTGAGGCCTCCGGGTGGGGGCCCCCCCGCTGCACCCCCACCCCGGGGCACCTTTTGCAGCCCCCCCATCCCCTCTCTTTTTTAAGTTGTCAATAGGAGCCGTGTCAGCCCCCAGCTCCCCATTAGCAGCTCCCCCCCCCCCCCCGCTGCCCCAGCGCCCCTTTGGAGGGGGGGGACACGACACACGCTCGCATCCCTTGCCCAGCTATGGGACAGGGTCCTCGTTCTCTTCGTGCCCCCCCCCGGGAGTCCCCAGTACTTTGCACGAGTTAAAAGCAAAAAAGGAATAATACTAATAATGGATGAATATGGCAATAAAGTGACCTGACCGAGCGAGGCTGCGGCCAGCAGTGCCCCCCCCCGACCCAAACCCCAGCAGGGAGCTGGTGTGGGGATCCCCCCCCTCCCTTCTTTCCTTGCTGGGAGCCCCCCCCCCCATTCCCTATCCCTTTCCCCATTCCCGATGACTGTTTTTGGAAAGCACAAGTTCTGTACCGGCGGTGTGCTCATGTCTGTTAATAAATAAAGAGACTCCCATGGGGCCCGCAGCCTGCTGGGGGGGTGCAGGGGGGGCTGGGGGGGTCCCCTCGATGCCAGGAGCCAAACCCGAGCCACAAACTTTTATTCTCAAACTGTAACAAACAAAAAAGTTAAGAAACAAGAGCAGAGTCCGGGTCCCCAGAGCCCCCGGCTGGGGGGGGGGGAGCAGGGGCCAGGCGGGGAACCAGCCCCTTCCGCGCCGGCGGCGATGGCCCGCGCCAGGGCGGGTGTCCCCGGGGTGATGGGGGTAACCGAACCCCAATTCCCATCTCCCCTCCTCCTCCAGTGCCGGAGGGGCACCCGCAGTAAGGTCCGGGGGTCCCCCGGTGCCGCCGTTAGACAGCGGTAGTCCTGCCGAAGAGGGGCATGGAGACCGGGAGGTGCCAGGGTCCTGGCTCGTAGGTGTCCCTGCTGCTGAGCTCCGAGTCCGTCCAGCTGGGGAACATGCGAGGGGAGCACTCTGCCTGCAGGTAGAGGTCCGGGCAGGCAGGGCCGGGGCTGGCCGAGCGGGGCAGGTGCAGTGCGGAGCCGTAGCCGGCGTCCAGGAAAAGGGGTTTGTAGCTGGGGGGCTGCTCCTGCTTCTCCAGCCGCTCGTGGCTCAGGAATGGGGCGTTGATTTTGCGGTAGAGCCCCCGTGTGTCCATCAGCACCTCGCTGTATGGTGGGGGGGGCTCCGCCATCAGCAGCGCTTCCTCATAACACGGCGGCTTTGACAGGTCTGACTCTGCAAGGCAAAGCCCCCCCCGGACCCCTGCTGCCATCAGTGCTGCACCCCGGTTCTCCTGCCGTATCCCCCCCTGACACCATGGAGCAGCGCACGCTGCGCCGACATCTCCTCCCTGCTCCTTACCGTGCCGGCAGCTCCAGGGCCGGGGGGGAGGGATGTGGTGGGGGTGATGATGGTGGGGCTCGAGGCGCAGGCGGTGGGGAATGGCGATGCCGGGGGGGCTGCCCCCATAACCCTCGTAGTGCAGCGGCTCCAGCTCCAGCGCACGTAGGCTCTGCTCCCTCAGCCGCTCCTCCTGCTGCCGTTTCACCCGCCGCCGCAGGTAGCTGCAGAAGCAGCACAGCAGCACGATGAGGCCCCAGATGAGCCAGAAGCCCGCGAAGCAGGTGAGGAAGGTGTAGGTGCCCTGGGACATCACCATCTTGGCTGCCGGTCCCGGCGGGGAGGCCGCGGCCTCTCCCTGCCCTCGGGGTGGGGAACGGGATGCTCAGGGCAGCGGCAGGGCCAGGGCAGGACCCGATGCTGCCAGGGCTACCGAGAGCATCTCCCCGGGCCGTGCCCGGCGGCGTCTCCTCCGGCCCGCGGGCGCCTGCTGTCAGGGGTCCGTCCTCGCCATGGAGCCGGGGGGGGCTGGAGCAGGTGGGTCAGGCCTGGGTGCGCTGGGCGGGCGGTGGGGCTGGGGGCCGGCGGGGTGGGCGGCGGGGGAGTGGGGCCGGCGGGGTCCCGCTGCCCATCGCTGGGAGGGGGCTGCTGGGGAGGGGGCCCTGCAACGAGACAGACGTGAGTGTGAGTGTGGCTGGCATGCGGCCGCCCCGTTCCCACGGCGATGAGCGAGGAGCCCTGAGCACCCCTGCCATTGCCCCCACGGCGGCAAACCCGCACCCAACCCCAGCTCCCCGTCACGGCACTGGCGGGCACCCCAGGGAGCAACACGGATGCTGCGGTCACCACAGCATCAACACCGTCAACGTCACTGGGTGTCCACTGGTGCCCCCCGCTTGTGCCCACCCAGTGCACCCCACATCGGCTGCAGAGCCCGGGCAGCTCAGCCCCCTGTGTCCCCAGCAGAGAGCCCCGGGGTGCCTGAGGAAGAGGAGGGATGTGCAGAGCTGCCTGCAGCACGTGGTGCTCGCGGGGGCACGTGCACTGCGGCCATCACTGGCCTCGCGGCCACCAAAGAGGCTCAGGGGATGGTGGTACCTTGACTGGGTGATGCAGGGCAATGGGAACTGTCACCCCTGTGCGGCCCCTGCCTTAAGGTACGGTGACAGTTTGGTTATGTCCAGCCAGGCATCAAACAGCACGTGCCAGGGATGGGGGGGAACATGCACATCCATAACTGGGGAGCACCACCCATGGGTGCTCACTGACAGGCATGTAAGCATACGTGAGAATTATTATGGTATGGGAGGAAACTGGCCTGCCCATGGGGAGGTGGGTGAATGCTGAAGTGCTGGTGGCTTAAGGCAGAAGGACCACGGTGGCATTATTGCTTCCACGTGCCTCTGCTTGGCAAGAGGGTCCCTGTCAGGGCAAGACTGAGATGACGATGGCAGGGCCACCGGGTGCCAGGGGGCTGCGGGGGCAGAGGGAAGGGCAGCGGGGCCAGAGGGCTGAGCCCAGCCGGGAGGAAGGAGGGATGGGGGGAAGGAAGGGGCCGGGAGCCCTGGCCACGCTCTGCGGGCAGTGGTGGGCAGCAGAGGCTGCTTCATCACACAGATGGAAGCGGGGACAGAGGCAGTGTCGGGATGTCAGTGTCAGGGGAGGGGGTGCCCCTTTTCTGGGGCTCCCCAAGCTGCCATCGCTGCCTGGCCAAGGCCAGCTCGGTGCGGGTAGAGCTCTCCGGTGCCGGCAGCAGGGCTCCCACCGGCAGACTGGGTGTCCCCGGGGGCACCGTGTGGGAAGGGCCGCGGGCCGAGCACCGGGAGGACGGCCAGAGGAACACCGGGAATGATGGCGGGGCGGGGAGCACTGACGGCGCCCGGAGACCGGGGGCGTTTGCAGCTGGGGGGAGCGGGGCTGCCCGGGCCGTGCGGGCTGCGTGAGGAGCGGGGCCGGGCTGGGAGACACCCACACCGGGGGGGGAAAGGACCGGCTGCCCGCTTGGGAGCAGCCCCCGGCCGCGGCCTGGGCCCCGCTGCCCGCCCGGCGCCTCCGGCGGGAGGGGGACACCCCGGCGGGGACCTCCCCGCTCCCAGCGCCGGGCGCGGCAGCCCCCTCCTCCTCCTCCTCCTCCTCCTCCTCCTCTTCCTCCGCCGGAGCGCGCTCCCGCCGGGCACAGACCGGAGCCGCGCGCCCCGCTACGCGCCGCGCTCCTCGGCCCTGGCCGCCGCTTACCGGTGCCGCCGGTCCCGCGCGCCCCCGCCCCGGCCCCGCTGCCTCCGCGCCGCGCAACAGGCGGAGGCGTCGCCCCCGCTCCCTCCGCGGCTCCCGTTACCGGCGGCGGCGCACGTGGCTCAAGCGGCGGGCGGCGGCTCCATGGGGTGGCGGCGGCGGGAGGGGGAGCGGGGGGAAGGAAGGGGCCCCGGTGCGCGCCCGGTGCGCGGCGCCGCCGCCGCCTCCCGGCGCTGCCTTTGTCTCCGGTGAGCGCTCCCGCGCCGCCGCCGCGCGCCGCCCCGCCCGGGCTCCCGCCCCGCCGCTCCGCCCCGCCCTCGGCTCGGGGAGGGACCCGGGTGCCGGCGGACCCCTCGCACCCCCACCCCGGGACCCGTCGCCGAGCGGGGGCTCCCGGCGGGGGGAACGGGCACTACCATGGGAATCCCCTTCCTCTCCCCCGGGGTACCGGTGGCTTGAGGGCCGTGGCAACCCCGGGGGTGGCCGCGGGAGATCCACAGGGCGGGGATAGGAGATCCCCCCCCCCCGGGTGACGGCCCCACGGTGCGGGTGCGGTGATGGTCCTGCGGTGCCCCGTGGGGTGATGCTCCATGGGGTGATGCCACGGGCTCCGGCATCCGGTGGCCCCGCACTCGCCCCGGGGGTGGTTGGGGGATGCCAGCCATCCAGTGCCCCGGTGCCAGCCGCAGCCTCCTTGGGTGACAGTCACGGCTCCCCCCGGGGTGGCGGCCAGCGCAGGGACAGTGACAGGGGCAGTTCAGCCTCTCCCGAGACCTTGACAGCCCCGGCTGCGGCGGGGCCCACGGCTGTGCGGGGCAGGAGGGCAGCCTGGCCCCGAGGACAGCGAGGAACAGCGGTGGCACTGGGTGACAGAGGAGCCTGCCCTGGGGGCACCCCGAGCTGCCCCTGCTGCCGACGTACACCCCTCACTGGCTCCGTGTCCTCGTGCGCTGGGGCTCCCCCGCCCATTTGCCATCGGGGCCGTCACCAGCTCTTCTCTGCTGCGCCCAAGGCTGGGGGTCACGGTCCCCATGGGAAACCTCCCCAAGCTCCTTGGGATGGGGCAAAAGAGCCCCGCTCCCATCCGCTGCACCCTGGGGCACCCCGGTGACAGGGCAGAGCCGTGCCAGAAGCCGGGGGGGGGGAAGGGGGGGGTGACCGGGTGTGGGTCCCCACGCAGGCTGTGACCCCGCCGCCGCTTCCTCCCCGTGGGCAGGGTGACGGCCGCACACACGGCGCATTGTTCTGCCGGGGCCCGGCCGGAAGGACTTCCTCCATCCCAGCCAGGGGACGACCCGGGGCCGCCGGGCGCCCGCACGGGGAGGCAGTGCGGCTGCGGCAGCCGGCCAAGCCCCGCCGCCTTGCTCGGAGCAGGGCCGTGGTGGCCATGCCTCCCCCGGCCCCCTTGCACCCGGCCCCGACTCACCTTGTCAAAACTCGCCTCCTGCGATCGGACCTCAAAGCGTGGCCGCGGCCGCCCGGCAGAGCCGGCTCGACGGTTGTGGGGGTGCCCGAGCAGCACCCTCGGCGGGCAGGGGGCTGCGGCCATGCAGGGGGGCTCGGGTGCTCCCTCGGGGCGGGGGTAACGCAGAGGCGGGGGGCACGGCGGGGCCCTCGGGCATCGTCAGGGCACGGCGATGGCGGGCGAGGGGGGGGGCCAGGCCTCCGGCCCCGCCAGCGCCGGGGGCCGGGAGCTGCCTTCCCCTTCCCCACGGCGGCGGGGGGAGGCAGGCGGGGGAGCGCTCCCCGAGCCACATGGTGGGCTGGAGGAGGAGCCGTTGCCCAGGCAACAGCTGAGAGCATCCTTCACCCCTGAAAATCGTGTGCCGGCGCTGCCGCCACAGCCCCACGGATAGAGACTGAGCACCCCGGACCCACAGCGCCCTAGCGCCCACTCACAGCTCGGCCAGGAGCTGCCGTGCCCGTGGGGTACAGCTCCAGACATACAACAGCACGCCCTGACCCACATCCTGCTCTCCCCCCTCCCCTCAAGACAGGGATGCGGATGAGGCACACCCCAGATGTTGGGACTGGGACAGCGCCAGGCAGGGGGGAGCTGGAGACAGGCAGGGCCCCCTCCATGCCCTGCTCAAGGCAGGGGCTGCCCAGAGCCCGGCCCTGCCCGCACAGGCACTCTGGCGGGGTGACAGGCACCACTAACACACTGGTGACCCCAGGACCCGGGTGCCACAGCCCCAGCAGTGCCGGCAGGGCGGCACCACATCACCGGCTGGTGCGGTGGGAGCAGCAACCCCCAGGCAGCCCCATCCCCCCGCCCTGCCTGCTTTCCTTCCATGGCTGCAGAAAATTCCTGGATTTTACCCCAAGATGCCCCCTCCGAGTGTGAGAACTCCTCCTCGGCCCGCTCCCATGGCAACTGTTCCCTAGCTACCCAGCCGCACTTGCTATTCTCATCCCTGTGCAGCTGCGTGCGGCCCTCCCGCGCTGCGCATGAGGCTGCTGCCACCACCGGCAGCCCCACCACCGGCCCTGGTCCCCAAACGCACCCTGCAGCCACCCCAACCCCCTGTGCATGCTCCCTCTCTGGTGACTGTCGTGACCCCAACCCTACTCACACCGTGCTCCCTGTGCTTTGAGGGGCTGGCCCTTGGCCTGAGACTTTGCTCTGTGCTGACACAGGGTCCCCCAATGCACAGCACCCAGAGGGGAGCAGGACTCTGTCCCCAGCCCCCAGCACACCAGGACAGCCCAGGAGGGGCTGTGCCAAAGGCAGACAGGGGACCATGGGAGACATGAGCACCCCAATAGTACAAGGCCCAGACCACCAGCCAGAAGCCACGGAAGGTCACCCCTGCTCACCAGGGCTGAGCATCAGCCCTTGTCCTGGAGGACAGGAGACCCAGCAGAGCCCATGGCAATGGGAACAGAGGGCCCTGCTTCTCTCCTTCCAGCCACCAACCCTGGCTGGCCCACAGAGTTCCCCCCTTGACCCGACAGCAACACAAGGCACAGTCAAACTTAGGCTTAAGAAAAGGTTAAAAATTTAAATACTCTCCAACTTTAGTGCAAGGCAAGCAAATGATACCACAGGTCCAGGTCGGTGCTCAGCCCCCCCGGGGGGCCTGGCTCAGAATGAGCACAAGGCAGCAGCACACACACGTGCACACACGCATGTGTACATACACAAGAGACAAGTTATTGCTTAGGGCACAGCTGGGACAAGTGTACAAGAGGAGACAGGACAAGCAGAACAGAGAGGTGGGCTGAGCCCCACACTGCTTCCCAGGGCCACATAGGGCTCCAGCCCCTGCACTCCTGCTGTGCTGGCTCCCCAGGATCCCTAGGAACACAGACCAAGCCAGTACAGCAGGCATGCTGGTCCTGGCCCTGCTCACTCTTAGGTCACAGCTCAGAGCATGACCCCAGGAAGGGACATTACCACAGCTTCACTCCCTGAGAGCAGGGCCCCTTATGTGTGTGCTCCTCTAACACCACGGTGGGCCTGGAGGGTCCCAGCATGCATAGATGAGTGGTCCAGAGCTGGTGGAACCACACTGGGGCTCAGACGAACCCTTTGGCCCCAGCAGCAGGTACCTTCCAGCAGGTACCTGCTGTGGCAGTAGCTGCGTCGCACTGTCGCAGTCTGGAGAGGAGAGCAGGATCAGCTCTCTGGAGCTGGCAGCATGTGTGAGACGACGCAGGAGGAAGAGGGCTCCGGCAGACAGGGAAGCAAGGATGAGGCAGTGACGCTGTGCTGCCAGGATGCAACGGTAGACGCTTTGGCACAGCAGTTTCCTGTGCCTCGGGGCTGAGCAACGGACTCCGCTGGAGCCAGGGACACCTCAGCACAGCCAGAAAGGTCCAGGAAAGATGCTTTAGACACCTCAAGGCACAGAAGGCCTCTGCCCAGGACTCCCTGGTAACAAAGCTGGCACCATCGCTCCCCGCACAGGAGGACATTTGTGCCTGTGACAGCGTGGGGGCACTGCAGACCCCCACCTATAGATTAAAAACTGGCATATGTAGATTAAAAACTGTGATATGTACAGACCAACATACATAAATATACACCAAACCTGCAGTGCCGCTCCGGCACCATGGAATGTGTGAGCAGAGCTGCTCCAGCCTGGCCTCAGCCCAATCCCTCCCTCCCACCCTGGGTCCAGGAGGGCAGCAGCAGCAGCACAATCCTAAGTGGCAGATTCAGAAGCATCCAGGTCTGCCTTTGGGATGAGGGCTTGCCCATGGGCAGAAGCACCTCAGCCGGAGCTGTGTGCTGCTGCCAGCCTTGGAGCATCCAGTCTTCAAATGCAGATGTAGAGAGCTGTAAACAAATCCACCTTGTGGGGCCACTGCTACCTTGTCCTTCAGGTTGGGCTGTTCTGCTGGGCAGAGGCAGAGAGGTTCCAGGGGCTGAAGAACAAGCTGTGCTCTACAGCCGGGTGGGCTCTTCCTCACTGTCACTGCAGTTCCCACAACAGTCCTGAAGTCAGAAGGGCAAGGAGAGGGAGGAGGGAAGAGAGGAGCACAGCAAGCAGGGGGTGAGCACAGTCACACAACCCAGCCTACAGCTGCCCTCTGGCGAGGAAGGGGCAGGTCCCCCTGATCTGCTCATGGCAGAGCTACATGGAGGCAGGGAGCTGGAGGGGAGCCCCCATTTGCAGAGGAACAGTAAAGCTGCATGTGGGGGTTCAGCTCCTGGCAGACAGACTGGTGAGCACGCAGCTGACTAGCTCAGAAGCTGGGAGGGAGATGGGCTCCGTGGACTACAGCACCCAGCAATACAGCTTAGTGCCAGCACAGGCCCTGCTCAGGGCACAGCCAGCCGCAGAAGCAGCTCAAGTCATTTTTGCTGGAACAGGAGTCTGAGAACAGGGCAATGTCAAACCTTCACGGTTTCTTAACCCTTGTGTGTGTCCCAGACATCCAAAGAGAGGAGTGAAGGAAACTTCCCACTGCCCCCTGGGAGCAGAGCTCCCAGCAGTAGCTATGCAAGGGCAGCTTTGGCTCAAGCTGAGGGCAAGGCCTCCCCCATGAAGGAAAGCAGGGAAGCGGGATTAGTGGCTCAGGGGGCAGTTAGAACAACAAGCAGCTTGTGCTCTGCTGGGGGAAGGGGATAGGCACTGAAGGACAACACTCCTCTTTCCCAGATCTTGCCACGTCCATGGGGCACCAGGTATTTCCCTGAGCAGAGCAGCCAGGAGAGACTGCTCACCTCTGGAAAGAGAAAACACGTGGCAAATCACAGCTCAACCCCTGCTTCAGGCAGCTGCCCATCTTCCAGCAGGTCCTGCCTGCCTCGGAAAGGGCTGGGTATCCCAGCCCAGAGCCGGCTCTGGCTAGGGCAGCCCACTGAACAGTGAAGCACAAGTCAGAGCTTGGCAAGGATGCAGGAGCCAGCACCAGATGGCTGAGAGTGGGTCCAGAGCCAACCACGCTTGAGTCCCACAGCTGCAAGCAGCTGTTGAGAGGCAGCAGCCCAGACTTTGCCAGTCCTAGAAAGAAGGCAAAGGCTGTTCTGGGCAGAGGAGACAGGCAGGCAAGCACGCCTACAGCAGCTGCAAGATGTTTCCATTCTCCTCATCCCTCGAAAGAACTGCTCTTTCTGCCTGGCCCAAGGTCTGGCAGAACTGCTCTGGAGAGCCCAGACAGCCCATTCCAAAAGCAAGGTCTTCTTCAGGGATGTTTTATGCACATAGGAAGGGAGAAGACTTGCTATTCTAGTGCCTTCAACATCCCTCTGCCTGCATGACTCCAGCACGTTTAACCAGGACATGCTACTCCAGTTCCCTCGACTGCCCCAGCATGAAGAGTGCACTCCCTGCAGCTCTGCACAGGTGCCTGAGAGCCCTGGGGTCTGGTCACCCACTGGCTCTGCCTGCTGCCCTCTTGTGCCCACCTCCCTGGCACAGGCAGGAGCAGGCTCATTGCTGCTAGAGGACTTGCTGGGGAGGAAGCACTGGGATTCTTACCTGTCTGCTGAATAAGCGCTGGAGTAACCCTTTTTTGGGCTGTGGAGAAGGCTGCCCTTTCCAGTCCAGATCTGGAGGCACTGTCCCATCTGTGCTGAAGACATTTAGCTCTTTAAAACACTCTGTCTCGATCATCTGGAAGAGGGCAAAGGTAACTGTAGCAATCTGTCACTGAGAGCTCAGTGAGCAGCAAGGCAGACACAAACCCTGCAAGACACTGCACTCTGCCATGGTGGGCACAAGCAGGAGCAAAGATCGGCCCTGCAAACTTACCTCATTCTGCCATGGAATGGGCACGCTTCCTGTGGCAAACTTCTGGTAGAAGTCATTGTCTGTGGGCTCCAGCTCCACCCCTTTCACCGTGGAGAACTGCTCAATGTCCAGAACATCCTTGCAGTAGATGGCCTGAGGCTAAACAGCACAGAGATTGCTCTAATGCCAGGCTCCAGCGAGGATGCCACCACCGCAAATAACCGTGGGTCATGGTCAAGCCCACACCCCCTCTCCCTGCAGCCCAAAGCTTGCTTGACCACTGTTCTTCCAGGCTCCAAGAACCAAAAGGAAAGGGGATGTGCCCCATCTCAATTAAACCACACCAGGGCTCTTGCTTCCCAGTGACTGAAGAGGCCAGGATACACAGGCACTTACATCTGGCTTGAATGGGGGGTCCAGCATGCCTGCTTCCAGCCTCTTGAAGTTGAGGTGTTTGAAGAGAGGGTGCTCCTTCACTTCCTTGGCCCCAGCTCCTCTGCACCCCAGGCGCTCCAGAGGATCTTTGCAAAGCAGCTGCAACACAAAGGGTATCAGTGCCCTGGGTAAAAGATGCTTTGGGCAGGAACAGCCCTGAGTTCAGCTGGGCTCCTGCAGTGTGTCTCTAGGGACAACATGGGCACACCAGGTAACTGGGAGAGTGAGGAATTGAAGCACTCTGGACCCTTCTGTGCTGCCTTATCAGAGACAAGGGACCCTGGCTCCACCACCCCTCTATAGGGCGCAGCCTCCATGTTCTCCGGCTACGTGCAAAGGAGCAAAGGGTCAGGGATACCCACTCGTACCATGGTGCAGAGGGAGCGGGCACAGGGCGAGAACTTCTCCGAGTACTCCTCCTGCACTTCCTTCACCAACCGCTCCACCTCCTCCCGCTTGATCTTCTTCTTGCGCTGCTGGAAGGGGGACTGTCCCTCGATCATCTCGTACACCAGGCAGCCCAGAGCCCACCAGTCCGGGCTGAACGTGTAGCGCTCATTCTTCACCACCTCTGGAGCTACAAGGGGTGAGGGACGTGTGAGGGCACGGGAAGCACATGTGCAGAGACCACTTTTTGATAAC